ATAAAATTTTTTCAAATTAATTAATTTACAAGACAAAATTTAAAATGAATCAATGTTTTGTTATTTGTAATTTTTATTTTCCTTTTTTTTCAAACGCTACTGTTGTATACAGAACAATGCAAAAATAATAATAACTATTTTTTCATAATAATTTACACTTTTAAATTAAATAATATAGAATAAATTTGTATGGTTTCGAATAGACAGTGATGCTTTATTTAATTTTTTGCATTTCTTTTACATTTACCTTACTGTCTTAAATAAAAAAAAATAACGGCAATTACAAAAAATGTTTTTTGATCGTATACCACTAAAAATCCGTTATGTTTTTTTAAGGTTAGAAAAAAATTCTTGTGAGTCTGTGTTTTTTTTCACGGCACCAAAAATATCAAATCATTTTTAAAAAGATTTTGGGTCCACATAATACTTTGAAAAGTTGAAAAGCAGGAAAATAATTTGTAACTTCATTATCTGTTTCAATAAAAAAATTTTTCATTACAATCAAAATTTATGAAAAGAATTGATTATTACAAAATGTATACAGAAGCAATTTTTTTTTTGAAATTTTCTTACTGTGTCTGTGCAATTGCATATTTAAAGACCAAAAATAAATTTTGATTACTAAGAATCGTTGACAAAATAAGACTTCCGTAGTTTTTTGCAAGAAAAGATGAGTGTCAATAATTTTTGTAAAATCTCTTTATATTTATCTATGTAGGCTTGTAAAATGGGAATAGATTGCTTGAGGGTAATTTAAAAACTGAATCAAGGGACTAGAGAATAATACGAAATGAGAGGATGATTTCTATAGGTTAAAATTGACAATCATCCTTTTTTTAATTTCTGGTACTTTACTCACTTCTTTGGTATATTATTGTTTTGGAATTGTACAACATTTACTACATCAAATTTTATTTTAGACGAAACTTTTTTTACGTGTTTATATTTCTTTGTGGCTTAGCAACTATTGATTTATTAGAGGTCAAATTTGATCACAGGTATTAAAAAGTATTGGGAATTTTCAATTCTTAACAATTTATTCCCATGTTTATAATGTTTATAATAAAATGTAATTATTTATTTACAATTAATATTTGTTTATTTATTAACAATTCTTTTATTCGCAAATATACTTATTTGTTAATCTGTCATTAGTTTTCCGAAATTCAAAATGGCGGATCTAATATGGTGGACTTTTTTTTTTTAAATTGATCCGATTTGCTTGAAAACTGTTACTCCGGGGTTTTTGGGGTCGCTGATTACGAATCTGTCATTAGTTTTCTAAAATTCAAAATGGCGGATCCTCTTTCAATCAGCGACCCCAAAAACCCCCGAGTTATTTTCCGAATTAATTAAACAATAATTTTAAGTAATTTGTATATATATTTGTTGGAAGTTTAGTATTTCATAAAAGAAAAGGTTAATTAAAAAAAAAAGATTTTAATTGAAAAAATGTCCTTGTTGCATGAAAAGCTCAAGAAGAAAGACGACAATTATCAAGCATTCAGAAATAAAAAATACAATGAAAAAATGTCGTAGCAATTGGGAAACTTTTTTTTTTTCATTGCTTTTTAATTGATTAGTGTTGACTGCATAATAAGGTTTTGATTTCTCCTTGAACATTCTACGAATTCCAGATTGATGTATTCGTTGAAAGAGTTGATCAAATCTTGGAACATACGGAGATCCTCGTTCAAAATACATATGGGTCCAACCGTTTCGAACCATTTCCGGAATGACATTCATAATAATTGGTTGTCCTGATTTATCCTTAAATTTTCTTTGAGCGTAATCGCTTGTTATTGAAAGCACAATACAACAGACATTCTTATAATTTGCCAAATCTTTAAGACAATCAAGTTCTTTATTTCTATGGATTCCTTCAACATTTTTTAAAATTGTATAAAGTGGTGACCCAAAGCTGTTATGCATTAAACTATTTCTCAATTCTTGAGACATTTTTGTTTTTAAACCTGATTTAATCAAGTCATCGAAGGTTTTCATTTCTCTATTTATTTCATAGTGAAAGTTAATTTGAGTACAAACTTCATAGATATTCATTGACAAAATCATTGATGTGATTAGCATTGAAGCAAAGATAATTCGATCAATAAGTTGTTTAGGTTCCTTGTCAACGCCGAATCCAAAGAGCATTTGGAACAGAACAAAAAGTTGCCATACATCCTTGTCCAACTTGAGAACTCTAGCCAAGCTCAATAGCGAAAAAATCAAAATGACGCACATTGCTATCGTTATTGACATTTGTCTTGAAATAATTAAAGATGAGATCTTGTTCTTTTGAATGGGCACAATCGCGTGAATGCCAATTTGTTCAATTTCTCGGCTAAATTCAACCCAACTGTGGAAAGAATGATCTGATCCGTAAAGACTGTTCGCTATAAGGTTCAATGTATTGTTCTCCAGCATTCTCGTTAATCCATCGGACTGATTGCCTTTAAGATGAAAGGTTCCAAATTTTGTATAATTGTGTGGAACCATTTTAATTACAAAATTCATTTCCTTTGCTATAAATTTTATTGTGCTTGCATCTATACCGCTTATCTTAACGATATGACCAGAATTATTTCGCCTCACATTGACCAGTGGAAATCGTGACAGGATGGTTATATTTAGTTGCCATTGATGCAAATTTTGAAGTTTTTCCGGAAACCATACAGTTTTTGATGACAGTTTTGGATTAGAAAATTGTTTAGCCTTCAAAAATGGATTATATTGGATAATTTTTGCAATTGATTTATTGATTCCGTTGGTAAAATATTCGCCTGCAGTTGGTTTTTTGTTTATTTTAAGAATAGTGGCATCCAAAATTTGTTGATTCCACATTTTACGCAACAATCTCTCGCTTGAAAATCCCTTTATTTGAGTGTGAATAATAATCAAACATTTTGGTCGTGTTCGACCACCTGACAAACGGATTATAGAGCCAATTGCATCAGTTGTTTGTTGTATTCTTTCTGATACATTCGATGAAGGGACAATTATAAACAAATTCGTTCCTCTAGGATCTTTGAAAAATTGATGATTTTCCAAGCAATTCGATAGACTTTCTGTCATGCAATGAAAATTTGCTAGCTGAGTTGGAAAACTTTTTGGAATTTGATGTATTAAATTTGTTTCAAAATCTTGCTTATCATTGTTGGCAATTAGAAATACTTGGTACTTTCTTGAATCAAGTTTAATGTAATTGATCAAATTTCGAAACCATTTGGTATGTGTTTCACAATTTTGAACGTAAATTGTAATGAAAAAGGCGAATAATATTTTTAATGCTATCATTATTTTTTTTTAAATTATAATTCTCATCAGTGTGGTAAAAATAATTCTCCGTAATTTACACTGTAAAATCAAAATCTTATTTTTTGAACATGTTTCTTATTTGAATTAAGAGTTTTCTTCTTACCTGCGTTGGAATTTTTAGTAATGATCATGTAGTGGTTGGCAGCAATAAATCAAAATAATCACTTCTAAATAAAAAAAACTAATTATAGTATTTTTCTTATTTAAAAAAATTTGATTCAGTGTAAATTATTAAAAAAATTTCAAAAAATGTAATTTTAGAGAATTGAAGACTATCAAGATGATCAGCTAACTGATTTAAAATAAAATTTTGCTTTTAGCTAAAAGCAAAGAAATGTAAAAAAAATCAATGGCAATTTTTTCACCTATATTTGAAACAAGTCCAATTTTGAAAAAAGAAAATTGTACATAATTCGCACGTCCGTCAAGTTGGTGACTATACATTTTTTAAACAATAATAATTACTAAATAAAAATTTAGACGTGGCAAATAAAAAATCAATAGCTGAGACACATGCAAGTCTGACTTTAATATATATATATATTTATATATATATATATATATATATTTGCAAACTTAGAAAATTTCTCATTTCATTTTCACGAATTTTTTTTTTTTGCTTTCTGACAAAAAATTAAATAATTACAATTAGTGCTTCTTGTAGTGCAATTATCAAACAATATTTACTCACCAAGTATTTAAATATTTAAAAATAAAAATTTTATTCATTAAAAAATGTCGATGGGTATAATAGCCCCTGGGATAGTATAATTACCCCGGTTAATGGTAATTAAATTAAAATAATAAAAGAAAGAAATTTTTTTTAAACAATTAAATATTTCACCATCAATTTTAATATTAAAGAAAAATTCCAAATTCTTTTGAACGACAAAAATAAAAATTTATATATAAAAATTAAGGAAATGCAATATATAATTTAAGAATATTATAAGGTTAGAAGAATAAATTCATTAACAAAAATTTTTTATTTTATTAACTTTATATCGATAATAAAATTGAAATAATTGCATTCAAGGTATACATATAAGAATAAGCCATAAGAAAATTACTGTCTTCTATAATAAAAGACCCTTTATATATTTAGAAGAAGGGTTATTGCTTTTGCATCGAAAATTTAATATAAATTTTGCCTGACAAAGAGCTATTATCAAGAGATGCGACATACGCCCCCATAAAATACTTATGCATATGAAAATACATTAAATAACAAATCAATATTTAAAGAAGTGGGGACTAAAAACACATCATTCAATTGTAAACCATTCGACTTATATTGCTGTTGATATATCAAAGAAACATAATTTATTTATATATATAAAAAAAATAATCCAATTTCAAAAATACTCATAAAAATATTATTGAAAATATATTAATACTAATTCAATAATGATAAAAGAAAATAAAAATATTTTTAAAAGACAATTGAATGATATTTTGAAACCAATATTTTTAGTAATGAAATTTTGTGGACTATGGCAACCGTTTGAAACTTCAATTTTAAGAATAATTTATATTTTGTATTCAATTTTTATAATGTTTTTAATGTTAACAGTTGGTATAGCTCTTGTATGTTTATTATTGTTTTCTTCAACGAATAGCAAAGAGATAATTATAGACAACTCATTTTTACTATTTACATTGTTTAACGGTTGGGTGAAAGCTTTGATAATTTTATGTAGACATAAAGAAATTAAATCCTTAATGAATACATTGTTAGAAGATCATTGTCAACCGCAAGATATTTCTGAACTTGAGATACAACAGAAATTTGATGAAGTTGCCAAGTATGTATGATAAAATAAAGTAGGTATATATCTAAATGAATATATTATAATAATATATAATAATTATATAAAAAAAAAGCAAATATCTTTTTGAAGAGTGTCGAACGGTCTCTGAAATTCTTTAGCAAAGAGAGACCATTAAATGGTAAATTATAAACATGATTTTAAAACACTTTTTTCTCGAAACATAGACACTTTTTATAAAATCAGCCAACGTACCAAGGATTCTTATATATAAATTTCCCAAATCCAAAAGATGGTACGAATCCATGCAAAAACGCGATTACAAAATAAAAAGTAGGAAAGTAATATAATGACACGTTCATTACGTTCTGTCGCCGTCAGATGGCAGAAGCATGCAGGGAGTACAAAGTAGCAGTTGTCATTATATTACTTTCCTACTTTTCATTTTGCAAACGCGTTTTTGCATGGATTTGCACAATCTTTCGAAATTAAAAAAATTCTAAGATATAAGGATCTTTGATATTTCCGACGATTTTGAAAAAAGCGTCCGCGTTTCGAGAAAAAAGTATTTTAAAATCAATCTTTATCATTTTCATGTTCAATGCCGTTTTTATTATTATATGCCAAAGAATTTCAGAGACCGTTGAACACTTCTAACAATATATTTCTAAATTATGAATTCCGTTGAATAGAATTATTATTCATAATTTTTTTAATCCCAAATAATTTCTTCCGCAATGGGCGACGTTGAAAAAGTTTCCATTCCAAAAATGGAATTGGTTTATCTATTTAATTTCTTTCAATGCCATAAGGTAAAAATCTTAGTTTTTCTGCATTATCGACATTTATGATAATCAGAGTTTAATTCTATTTATAGAATTTATATTAATTTTTTTCAGTCCCATTTAATTTTTTTTAGTTTGATTTCAACACTTTCTTTTTGTTAATATATTTTTTTAAATTAATACATGAATAATAAATCTTTTTTATATTATTCAGGAAAGTCACCGTCACTTATTCAACTGCAGTTGGAATTTCTGTAGTTTTGATGTATTCAATATTTTTTATGAAAGAAGGTGATGAAAGAGTTAAAATTCTTAATACATGGCGACCATATAAATTAAAAGAAGAAAATTTGTTTCTAACATGGGTTCATGAATTTATTGGCCATTTTGCAATAGCAACTGTTCATATGGCCGTAGATTCTTTGGTGCCTGGTTTTATTATTCTGACATGTTGTCAATTGTATTTTTTGCAGCATCGATTGGATAATTTTTCTTATCAAGTTGAAAATAATCAAAAATCTTTACATTCAAATAAAAATAAACAGGAATTCGAGTTATTTTATATTTCAAAATTTGTTATACATCATAATATAATATTTCGGTAAAAAAAAACATTTTTAACTATATTATTATGGGCGAATCTCGAAAAAAGGGTATTTTTATGCCGTTGTGTTATGTTATCTATAAATATTTGTTTTAAATTATTTTTTCCAAATGTCATTGAATTATTTGAAAATATCATTTAAAAATCACATAAGAGTTTTGAACGGTCTCTGAAATTCTTTGCCAAAGAATAAAAAAAAGTGCCCTATAAAAACGGCACTGAACGTGAAAATGATAAACATTATGATTTTAAAACACTTTTTTCTCAAAACACGGACACTTTTTATAAAATCAGCCAACGTACCAAGGATTCTTATATATAAATTTCCTAAATTCGAAAGATTGTACGAATCCATGCAAAAAAGCGATTACAAAATAAAAAGTAGGAAAGTAATATAATGACACATTCATTACGTTCTGTCGCCGTCAGATGGCAGAAGCATGCAGGGAGTACAAAGTCGCAGTTGTCATTATATTACTTTTCCTACTTTTCGTTTTAAAATCGCGTTTTTCAATAGATTTGCACAATCTTTCGGATTTAGAAAATTTATAAGATAAGGATCCTTGGTATTTTGGTTGATTTTGAAAAAAGTATCCGCGTTTCGAGAAAAAAGTATTTTAAAATCAATGTTTATCATTTTCACATTCTGTTCCGTTTTTATAGGTCGATAATTAAAGGTCTCTCTGTCCAGTTAATTTAAGAAAAACAAATTTTTTTCTCTTCGATAATGACCAGTTTTTTGGAGAATCTCCCATAAGAGGCAAAATTCATCTCGATCTGAAAAAAAATATTTTTCAGTTTGATCGCAGTTCAGAAAATTTGCCTCATAAATTTATTTATTCCGTTTAAACGAATATATTTTAAAATAATTTTTTTTATGAAATAACAGATATGCGGAAAAAATCAAAAATATATTCGTCGAAGTATTATTCGCACAATTTTTTTCAAGTTTAGTTGTCATTTGTCTAACAGTGTACAAACTCTCAAAGGAACCACTGAGTTTTGATAGTGTATTATTACTTGTTCCATATATGATTTGCATGTTGATGCAACTTTTCATTTATTGTTGGTTTTCTAATGAATTAATGCTTAATGTGAGTACAAATTTCAAGTTACTCAAAATGATCCTAACAGTAATCTCAGATTTCTAGGTTGACATCATTTTTATAATGATTTATTGAATTACAATTATTTTTTCTAATATTTCAACAAATTATTATTTAAATTTAAAACAAAATATATTTTTATTTTCTTAATATAATTTATGTAGGGGAATAATGTCAGGGTTGGACACAGTTTTAGTTTTTTGTTTATAAATATTTTGTTTAGATAAATTCAGTCAATTGTGGTATATGGGTGGAAAGATCTACAAAAGAGGAACACTTTTGCTGTGGACCGTAAATTGATTGGTCCAAAATTAAAAAAGTTATAAACATTTAAAAAAAAATCTAGTCAGGGTTGGACACTTTTTGAAAATCGAAACGCATTATTGGTAAAAACGTAAAATAACATTTGTAATGTTTTTTATTCTTATTTTTTCATGTTTGTCTTTACTTATTGTTTACAAATTGTAAAGCTTCATGGGTTTAAAAAGGAATGAACTCAAATTACAAAAAATAACGCTTTATTGTTCCAAATAACTCAATGAAATGATGAACAAAATTTATACAATTTAAGTATTATTTTTCTAATATCTTTGGCACAATTTTGCACTGAAATATCAATAAAATAAAATTTATTTGTATATTTATTTATAAATTGTGTCAAATTCATAATTAATATGGGTGTCCAACCCTAACTGTATAAAGTGTCCAACCCTAACTAGAAGCATCATTTTCGAATTGTGCTAACCATAACCAGACATGTGCCGCGATTCGATTGTTCACTTTTTTTCTTCTTAAATTATGTACCCCACAATACATTCAATAAGCTTACCTTGCCGAATTCTTCCTTTTTTTTACACATTTTTTAGGTTTTTTCACAAGTCAAACAAAACTTTTTTTGTCTCTTCAATTGCACCGAAGTCACAGGAGACGCTACTTTTGTTTCTCCAAAAATGTAATGCCACAAAAAGTTAGGTTACACTACTAGAAGATTCGTCACGTACGCGCACAGGTGGCGCTAGTGTTCTTATTTAAAAAAGCCAAGTGTCCAACCCTGACACTATTCCCCTATAGTTGAAATAAAATATTTTTTCGGATGTTGTATTTCAGTGTACATATATAGTAGAAAAATAATATTTTACATATTTAATAATATTTTATACAGAGTAAAGATTTGCAGACAGCAATTTTTGAAACAAATTGGCTTTATTTTGAAAATGAAACGAAAAAAAGCCTTTTAATAATAATGATTCGTTGCAAAAAGCCTATTTTAATTTCTATTGGTTCATTTGTATTTGTCAATTTAAATTCCTTCGCATCGGTTAGTATATGCGACAAGTATATAATTTATTATAAAATGGGATATATTTGTTTATTCATTTTTTTTAACAATATTTAAAAATTTTAGATTCTGAAGGCTTCGTATTCAGCATACAATGTATTGCAACATTCATTATAAAACTTATATTAATTTAAATTATAAAAAATTACTCATAGTTACTTGAGCTTCTTTACATATATAATTTCGTACATTGAGTTTAATTTTTTTTAATAATTTAGAAAATAGTATAGAAAAAAATAATAATTTTTCTTGTCAATTATTTTTGAAACAATTTTTTTTAAGAGTGTCGAACGATCTCTAAAATTGTTTGGCATTTAATTATCGCCATATTGGCGATTCAAACAGCTACACTAGCGCCACAGTTGAACTAATTTAGGCGTGACTCGCTCTAAAGCAGTCTCTGTTTTGACAGTTTATTTCAAATTATTTAATTATTCTGATATTTTTATTGCGTTTGTAAAATTATTTTTAAGCGTTAAATAAAAAAAAATAATTTAAAACACATGGAGTGCTACAGAGCGAGTCACACCTAAATTAGTTCAACTGTGGCGCTAGTGTAGCTGTTTGAATCGCCAATAAAAAGGGCACTGAACGTGAAAATAATAAACATTGATTTTAAAATACTTTTTTTTTGAAACGCGGACATTTTTTATAAAATCGTCCCAAACATCAAGGATACTTATCTTATAAATATTCTAAATTCGAAAGATTGTGCAAATCTATTGAAAAACGCGATTTTAAAACGAAAAGTAGGAAAAGTAATATAATGACAGCTGCGACTTTGTGCTCACTGCATGCTTCTGCCACCTAACGGCGACAGAACGTAATGAACGTGTCATTATATTACTTTCCTACTTTTTATTTACAATCTTTCGAATTTAGGAAATTTATATATAAGAATCCTTGGTATGTTGGCTGATTTTATAAAAAGTATCCGTGTTTTGAGAAAAAAGTGTTTTAAAATCATAATGTTTATCATTTTCACGTTCAGTGCCGTTTTTATAGGGCGATAATTAATTGCCAAAAATTTTCAGATACCGTTCGACACTCTTAAACATTCATTTTTAAATTACATCGTTAATTTTATTTGTAAGAAAAAATTTTCATCCGGAAACAATAATTTATCCTCCAAATACAATGACTTGATTTACACTCGAACTGGCACTCTAATCAAATGAAGATATTTCATTTGGAGGCTAAATTATTCTCAAAGCATATTTATAATAAATAAGAATTTGTCAATTAAGAAAATTATCTTTTTTTATAATAAATGACTTTCATATATGAGAGATTCTTTTTCAATCGCCCCAGCCCAAAAAGTCAATGTTCTGGGATTGGCTTCATACTTTGGTAAATTGTTGTCCTATATGATAGTAATAAATCCCTAAAATATAAACTCATTAAAAAAATATTTGTAGAAAGTAGAGGGGGTTGAAGTTTTGACGTTAAGGGTAACATTGTCATTTTCAAATCCGTATAACTATGACAAAAGTTAATGGATTTTAATTTATCTATAATGAATTTTATTGCATTTTTCACGTACTTTTCAAAAATGTTTACGAAATTTAAAAAAAAAAATTTTTAACCCCTTTTTTTTCAAAATCAACCCTTATTTTTCGATTTTCACCCCTTCGGGTATTTTTTTTTTTTTTTTTTTATTTTCATTGGAAAGCTGAGGTTTTTTCCGATGAGCTATGTAAATATGAAAATGGGACAACAATAATTTTGTGAGTAACAGAATATTAAAGTAGGCGGTGCCGATAAGGGTGCCGTTAAGGGTAACATTGTCATTTTCAAATCTGTATAACTATGACAAAAATTAATGGATTTTAATTTATCTATAATGAATTTTATTGCATTTTTCACGTACTTTTCAAAAATGTATACAAAATTTAAAAAAAAAAAATTTTGACCCCTTTTTTTTCAAAATCAACCCTTATTTTTCGATTTTCACCCCTTCAGGAATTTTTTTTTGTTTTTTTTTTATTTTCATTGGAAAGCTGAGGTTTTTTCCGATGAGCTATGTAAATATGAAAATGGGACAACAATAATTTTGTGAGTAACATAATGTTAAATTAGGCGGTGCCTATCTAAATCCTCAAAGATGATCTCCAGGTACACCCCTTATCGGCACCGCCTACTTTAATATTCTGTTACTCACAAAATTATTGTTGTCCCATTTTCATATTTACATAGCTCATCGGAAAAAACCTCAGCTTTCCAATGAAAATAAAAAAAAAAAAAAAAAAAATACCCGAAGGGGTGAAAATCGAAAAATAAGGGTTGATTTTGAAAAAAAGGGGTTAAAAATTTTTTTTTTTAAATTTCGTATACATTTTTGAAAAGTACGTGAAAAATGCATTAAAATTCATTATGGATAAATTAAAATCCATTAAATTTTGTCAAAGTTATACGGATTTGAAAATGACAATGTTACCCTTAACGTCAAAACTTCAACCCCCTCTACTTTCTACAAATATTTTTTTAATGAGTTTATATTTTAGGGATTTATTACTATCATATAGGACAACAATTTACCAAAGTATGAAGCCAATCCCAGAACATTGACTTTTTGGGCTGGGGCGATTGAAAAAGAATCTCTCATATATATAGAAGAAGGGTTATTGTTTTTGCATCTAAAATTTAATACAAATTTTGCCTGACAAAGAGCTATTATCAAGAGATGCTACATACGCCCCCATAATAAAATACTTATGTATATGAAAATACATTAAAAAAAAAAAATCAATATTTAAAGAAGTGGGGACTTAAAACACATCATTCAATTGTAAATCATCAAAGTTATTGCAAGTAAACATAAGAAATGTATAATTGTATACAAAAAATTGATTCAATAAAAAAATTAATAATAAAATATAATATTAATTCAATAACGATAAAAGAAAATGAAAACACTTTTAAAAGGCAATTGAATGATATTTTAAAACCAATATTTTTAATGATAACATTTTGTGGACTGTGGCAACCTTTTGAAACAACAATTTTAAGAGTGATTTACATTGTGTATTCAATTTTTATAATGTTCTTAATATTAACAATTGGTCTAGCTCCCATATTATTATTATTATTTTCTTCAAAAAATACCAAAGAGATAATAATAGAAAATTTATTTTTATTATTTACATTACTTAACGGTTGGGTGAAAACTTTGATAATTTTATGCAGACATGAAAAAATTAAATCTTTAATGAGTACATTGTTAGAGGATCATTGTCAACCGCAAGATACTGTTGAACTCGACATACAAATGAAATTTGATGAGATGGCCAAGTATGTATAAAAAATTAAAGGAATATGTAATAATGAATAATATTAATCATATAATTTAATAATTATAAGAAATGAAGCAAATATTAACAAAAGTACAGTAATAAAAATTTTATATTGTAAAATGTTTGAAACTAAAGTCACAATTTGTGTATAAATTAGAAATGTGAGTCTGATAGGTTACTGATTATTAAATTTGCTGTTAAATGATCCTGTGCTTAAATTTTTTTTTATAAATTGCTTTGATGGATTTAAACGTTCTAGGGCTTAAAAAATTTTTACATTCGTCTAATTTAAGATACGGATAGGCGAATTTTCAAAATTTCCATTTTTCATGCCAATATGAGCTGTCAAAAGTCAAAAAGTCCAAAAATTTCAAAAAACTTTTATGTGAATTAAAAGCTAAAAACGGAGGTAAATAATTCTGAAAATAATTCTTTAACCGTTTTTAGGGTCGCTGATTACGAACCTGACGTTATATTTTTTGGAATATTACTTGCGTCTTTTACTCCGTTAAAATGATCTTTTAAGGGCATGTGGGCAAAGGACGTTTTTTTGTGGTTTGAAAGTTACTCTGAAATAAAAAATGATTTTGGGTTAAAATTTTGGAGAAATGATTTTGTTTTTTAAACATCAGTTTTTAAATAATTTTACTCAAAATTATGCATTTTTCGGAGAACAGCGAAATTCTTTGTACCCTAATGTATCATCCCTCAAAATTTTAGACAAAAATCTTTTCTCATTTTAGAGTGAAATGTATACTACCAAAACACATTTTCCCATACTAAGTCACGTGGGAGATTCCCACATGCCGTTAAGCTATTTTCTTTTTAAAATCAGAGCGCTAAAAAGAAAATATCTTAAAAGATTATTTTAACGCAGTAAAAGACCCAAGTAATATTTCAAAAAATAACGTCGGATTTGTAATAAGCGACCTTATATAAAAAGCTGCACGCGCTATAGAACGTTTAAATTCATCAAAACAATTTTTGTTCAGGGCTCAGTCCGTGTTGACGTGGTATATCCCATAAATAATGGAGATATTGAAACAAATTGACGAAACTTCCACTTAATTTGACAAATTTATTTTTTGATTTCACTTTGATATCAAATTCAAATTTATTTTTGATTTCATTTAATTAGCAGTCAAATTCAAATTTTAACATTTTGCTTCTTCATGGAGGAAGCATTGTAATACCGAAATTTTTCGAACTCGATTTTTTTGATGTATCTTTATGTTTTTTGACCTCTGGAATCCAAAAATCACATTTTTAAAAAATGTCGTTCCGTGTGTGTATGTGTGTGTATACACTACATTTTTATAAATATCTTAAATACTATAAGAACTGAAAGGATACAAATTTTCTTTAAATTATAGTTCTGACTGGCGGACAAATAATGAGAGTACTTTGAGCCATATTAACAAGAATGAACTATTATTTTTTGGTTTTTTTAACATTTTTGAAAAATGGTTTTTTGCTCATAACTTTAAAAAAAAATGTAATGACGCCTATGAATATTTTTCTTTAATTTTATAGAGTTTTTCAAGACGCATCTTTTAACCTATTAGCAAAAATTCTATTTTTATTTTATCCAGAATTATTAAAATTTTGAAATTGAAAAATGTTGAAAAACCTGCCTTTTTGCATTATTTATTAAAAAATATTTATGTAATTTTAAATTTATTATAAACAACTTGGAGAATATTTAAAAACGAATCAATTGACATATTATTGAACATTTTATTATAAAATATTAAGAAGTTATTGATATGCTAAAAATCTATCTCTGTAAACTCCCAAAAATATTCAAACTTATAACACCTTTTTAAAATTATTATAATACTATAAATAAGTTACTATAAATTGATCACAAAAAATCTCCATGAGGAAGCAAAGTGTTCATGAAATGAATACAAAAAGTTCATACTTCAACTTGGCAGCGCGGTTTTAAGAGTTTTTTTTTAACGTTGTCGAACGGTCTCTGATATTTTTTGGCAAAAAGAAATTTTTAATTATCGCTCTATAAAAACGGCACTGAACGTAAAAATGATAAACATTGATTTAAAAATAATTTTTTTTTGAAACACTGACACTTTTTATAAAATCGGTCAAAACACTCAGATAATTTATCTTCAATCAATTTTTAAATTTTATCAGCCATATTGGATTCGCCATTTTAAATTTTAAAAATATGATATTTAACCCCTTGACTGTCGATGGTCCATATATGTCCAAAAAAAGTCTTGCCACCTTTGTGATTTTGGACATATATGTGACCGTCCACATTAGAAAAAAATACTAAATATAATTAGAATTGAGTGTCAATGTGTATACTAAGGTTTTCGGGGTCGCTATATCCAAATTTGAGGTCAGATTTAAAAAATTCAAAATGGCGGAAAAATTTAAAATTTATTCGATTCGTTCAAAATTCGGTACTCGGGGATTTTTGGGGTTGCTGAATCCAAATTTGAGGTCAGAATTAAAAAATTCAAAATGACAGATCCAATATGGCGGAAAAATTAAAAATTTATTCGATTCGTTCAAAATTTGGTACTCGGGGATTTTTAGGGTCGCTGAATCTAAATTTGAGGTCTGATTTGGATTCAGCCACCCAAAAAACCCCCAAGTACCGAATTTTGAACAAATCGAATCAATTTAAAATTTTTTCCCCTATATTAAGTGGCCATATTGGGTCAGCCATTTATAATTTTAAAAATCTGACATCAAATTTGGATTTAGCGACTCAAAAAACCCCCGAGTACTAAATTTTGAACGAATCGAATCAACTTTAAATTTTTCCGCCATATTGGGTCCGCCATTTAAAATTTTTAAAATCTGACATTGAATTTGGATTCACACGGAGAGAAATAGATGGTACAGGGTACTATCTAGATAGTACCAGGTACCATATTTGGTCTTACATATACGGACAGCAATCTAGATTCTATCAGTTACTATCCAGATTGTACGAAGTAACATCTTGATTGTAGTGGGTAACATAACCATACTTTTTGTAACATCTTTGATAGTACCGAGTAGCATAATGATAGTACCGGATAATATCTACTTTTTACCATCTTAAGATCATAAGTTCTTACCATCTATTTCCCTCCGTGCAGCGACCCAAAAAACTCCCGAGTACCGAATTTTGAACGAATCGAATCAATTTTTCCGACATATTGGGTCCGCCATTTTGAATTTTTAAAATTTGACCTTAAATTCCGATTCAGCGACATCAAAAATCTTTTATATGATGATATAAAATTTTTTTGAAAACTTCTTTTTTTTTGGACCGTTTTGGGCCCACAAACGATTTTTCTACTCGACTGCGAAGGGGTTAAAATCAATGTTTATCATTTTCACGTTCAGTGCTGTTTTTATAGTGCGATAATTAAAGATGTCTTCTTAGCAAAGAATTTCAGAGACCGTTCTACAATCTTAAGCGAATTATTAAAAAATTTCGCTATATTTGATCCATCGTAAACACTTTTGTTCCAGATGCGATCAGATATACTCTTTAAATCTGAAATTAGCGATAAGTATACACTAATTTCAATTAGTTAATTTAAATTTAGAAACTAGAATTTGTAAAATATGTCAATTGTATAAATTTCATTATAATTACACAGAAAAGTTATCACCACTTATTCAATTCCGGTTGGAATTGCTGTATTTTCAATGTATACAATAATTTTTATAAAAGAAGGTGACGAAAGAACAAAAGCTCTTAATACTTGGCGACCATATGAATTAAATGAAGAAAATTTTTTAATAACGTGGATTCATGAGCTTATTGGTCATTTTGCAATAGCAAGCGTTCATGTGGCTGTAGATTCTTTGGTGGCTGGTTTTATTATTCAAACATGTTGCCAATTGCATTTTTTGCAACATCGATTAAATAAGTTTCCTCATCAAGTTAAAAATGTGAAAAAAATTTTACATTCAAATATAAGTAAACAAAAATTTGAATCATGTTTTATTTCAAAATTTGTTATTCATCATAATACAATATTTAGGTAAAAATATATTTAATAATGTTGGCCATTCTCTGACAAACGGATACCCCCTACTGTCGAAAATTGGATTGTTATTAAAAAATTATTCAGTACACAAAATTGTAGCTTAAGATGTCTAGTTTCATTTGCCATTTTTGAAAATATAAATATGGACGACAAATATGGCGCCTGAAATGAAAAAATGCAAACAAAAAAAAATACAATGTATTTATTGTAGAAGCTTCAAAAATTAGTTAAATTATTTAGACAAGCCGAATCTTACGAATCTGAAGTTACTTTTCAAAAATTAAAAATGGCGGACGATTTTCTAAAACTTTATCAGATTTGCCTGAAACTTTTTCATCGGGGGTTTTTGGGGTCGCTGATTACGAATTTGATTTGAAGTTATTTTTTTTAAATTCAAAATGCCGGATCCAATATGGCGCCCAAGAATATGATTAATTATTCTGAATAATTCAAATATTTTTAAAGCTTCAACAACAACAATTATATTTTTTTTTGTTTGCATTTTTTATTCTAGTCGCCATATTGGTCGTCCATATTTATATATTCAAAAACACAATACGGCAAAGGAAACGAGACATGCAACAATTTCATCTATTAAATGATTTTTTTAATATCAAACCAATTTTTAGGTTATATTTTTGATTTTTGAAGTGAAAATACATAAAGAGGGTTTAATTCTTTATTATATCTAAAATATTTAATAAATTCTATTTTTGATTTTGCCTAATTAAAATAGAACTTTTTATTCAGGTAATATTATCACTAAATATAACCTAAAAATTTTAGGAGCTTAGGTAGCTTTTGTTGCGGAGCGTCACATACACTGAGAGAACTCTCTTACGAATATTGCACGACGGGCTGTTACCATTTTTCCAACAGAATATGTTTTGGAAATATCGCTTGAGACTGGAGTTATTTTTTCACGAATTTATGAGTTTATAGGAAAACGGTGCTGTGTGAAATATTAGTATAAGTCCACATACTAATTCTACAACAAGTGTATGTAACAAACGCTCCAGAAACATGACGAAAATGCACAACGCCTTTCTTTGCTGCATTTGCTCGAAATCCATGAAAAATCAGCATGGATTTCTTACAAATCGAGCTGAAACGTAACGCGCAGGCGTCGTGAATTTCGTCAATGAAAGAAATCGAATAAGGAGTAGGGATCTTGATCCTTACTTCGAATTCCTTTACGAAGATCACTTATTCACTCCCCATATTATTACTACTTGGGGCAAATCACTCCAAGACACACCAAATGCTTCAATTCTTTTTAATGATCTAATTAATTCTAACTTCCCCAATCACACTCTATTTTTCACCGACGGCTCTAAATCAGAAAAATATCATTTGGCTGGTTGCGCTCTAATCTGCTCGTCCTTAAACCTAACCTCTAAATTCAAAATTTCAAATCATGCTTCAATTTTTTCTCTAGAAGCATTCGCAATTTTATTCACTTTAGATTACATTATTAACTCTAACCTTTCTAACACCATTATTTGCACAGATTCTCTTAGTGTTCTCAATAATTTAAAATCGACAAGTATTTACAAAATCAAATCTTACATAATAATAACTATTAGAAACCGTTTGAAAATTCTTTCTGAATTAAAACGTCCTACAACCCTAGTATGGATCCCCGGTCACGCGGGAATCGAAGGTAACGAGAAGGCAGATAGAGCAGCTAGAGAATCATCAACTAATCCCACCGAAGTTAACATTCCACTAGCATTTTCTGACTTCTTTTATATAGCGCGTAAACAATTATCAGATAGTTGTACTTCACACTTCCTAGACCTAGGAAAAATCAAAGGTATTCATTACACCCAATATTACTTTAAACCCAGAAAGAAACCATGGTTTGCGAACTTCGAAACTCGCAGACTATGGATCACTACAATCTGCCGCTTAAGATCCAATCATTATAATTTAAATGCTAGCTTGGCAAGAAAAAATTATATTAAATCGGGTGACTGTCCTTGCTGTCCCAACGTCGAGGAGGATTTTGACCACATTCTCTGGTCTTGTCCCAGATATAACTCATTCCGACCGAATCTAATAAAAGCTCTTTCTAGGGCTCTAAAATGTTCCCCTCCTTTCAGCTCAGTTCAATTTCTCACTAACCCTGCTCCCAGAGTTGTCTCTCGTGTGTTTAGATTTTTAAAACATATAAATATAAAGATTTGATTTAATAACTTTTTCTAATTTGCTTTTATCTCAGGAGCTCCAGAGAGAAAGTTTTGTCGGGAACTTTTCCCTCTGGGTGAACAGTAGAGTAACTTGGAGCTGCGGTTCCTTTCGGCAAACTACTCTCTGGAATCCCTCCTCTTTGTTATTTTTCTTTATTAATCTAATTTTCCTTTCTTGTCTTTTCTTCTATTTCAAATTTACCGCTCTTCTATTTAACCAATCATACGTTCTCAGCGTTTACATAGTACGTATATTCACTTTTAAGCAACATCCACTCACCAGGTCATGGCCAGATATACGCAGGCGCAAGCCAGTATAGTGCTAACGTTAAACAAACTTAACTTAACAGAAAGAAATCGAAACGCATAGGAATAAGGTTATTCAAGTTGGGTGGGGGAAAGCCAAGATGGATGATGGCTGGTGCACAAACAGCCTATCAGCATTCATTCCCACGAGAAATTTCTCAAATTCAGTGAGAAATTTCTCGTGGGAATGAATGCTGATAGGCTGTTTGTGCACCAGCCATCATCCATCTTGGCTTTCCCCCACCCAACTTGAATAACCTTATAAAAATTCGTCGCGCACGCGCGTTACATTTTTCCTCGATTTGCAAGAAATCCATGCTGATTTTTCATGGATTTCGAGCAAATACAGCACACAGAGGTGTGGAGTGTTTGTAGCAACAGTTGAGTGGAGAATTTGTACGTGACTTTTACTATTCGCGCACTGCAACTAGTGTTGCACTTAACGCATGAATCTGACCTAAATTAGCAATTAGAATGGCACCTACTTGTGCATTATTAGTAAGAGAGTTCTCTCCGTGTATGTATTATATTTAAAGAAATATTTAAAAATTATTTTATTTTTCAAAAAAAACAGGTATGCAGAAAAAATCAAAAATATATTCGTGGAAGTATTATTTGCACAATTTTTTTCAAGTTTAGTTGTCATTTGTCTGACTGTGTACAAATTTTCGAGGGAACCCATGAATTTTGAAAGTATATTAGTACTTGTTCCTTATTTAATTTGTATGTTGGTGCAACTATTGATTTATTGCTGGTTTTCCAATGAATTAATGATTAATGTGAGTATTTTTTAAAAATAGTTTCTTTTATTGATACAACACAATGGAACTGTAATCTCGAGAGCAGAGAATTTATTATATATAAATCCATTTTCTTTTAAACAGGGTAGAGATTTGCAGGATGCAATTTTCAATACAAATTGGCTTTATTTTGGAAAAGAAACGAAAAAGAGTCTTCTAATAATAATGATTCGTTGTAAAAAGCCTATTTTAATTTCTATTGGTTCACTTGTATTTGTTAATTTGAATTCTTTTGGATCGGTTAGTATACAATAAAATTATATATTATTTTCTTTACATTGCAGTTACAATATAGAATCATCATAATTCTTTAATAATAAGGTAAATTAATTAATTGTTTTTAATAATATTTATAATTTTTAGATTCTGAAGGCTTCATATTCAGCATACAATGTTTTGCAACATTCATTATAAAACTTATCATTTTTTATATTGTAAAAATATTATTCATGTACAATCGAAGTTTGGAAGATGTAAAAAAAAGACATATTCGACATTTTATGTGGAAATGTGACTGGTGAAGTCAATTTTAAAAAATTCTAATTTATTAAATTCGTGAAAATCTTATAACACTGCGTCAAATATTAAATAAATTACTGAATGGATTGAAATTGATATTTTTTTTGGAGATTAATAACAGTTGTGATGTAAGAAAATTGTAATATTTGTTGAATTAATTAGGGGAATAGTGTCAGGGTTGGACACAGTTTTGGTTTTTTATTTATAAATATTTTGTTTAGATAAATTCAGTCAATTGTGGTATATGGGTGGAAAGATCTAAAAAAGAGGAACACTTTTGCTGTAGACCGTAAATTGATTGGTCCAAAATTAAAAAAGTTATAAACATTTAAAAAAAAATCTAGTCAGGGTTGGACTTTTCAGTCAGGGTAAAAACGTAAAATAACATTTGTAATGTTTTTTATTCTTATTTTTTCATGTTTATCTTTACTTATTGTTTACAAATTGTAAAGCTTCATGGGTTTAAAAAAGGAATGAACTCAAATTACAAAAAATAACGCTTTATTGTTCCAAATAACTCAATGAAATGATGAACAAAATTTATACAATTTATGTATTATTTTTCTAATATCTTTGGCATAATTTTGCACTGAAATATCAATAAAATAAAATTTATTTATAAATTGTGTCAAATTCATAATTAATATGGGTGTCCAACCCTAACTAGAAGCATCATTTTCGAATTGTGCTAACCATAACCAGACATGTGCCGCGATTCGATTTTTCACTTTTTTTCTTCTTAAATTATGTACCCCACAATACATTCAATAAGCTTACCTTGCCGAATTCTTGCTTTTTTTACACATGTTTTAGGTTTATTCACAAGTCAAACAAAACTTTTTTTGTCTCTTCGATTGCACCGAAATCACAGGAGACGCTACTTTTGTTTCTCCAAAAATGTAATGCCACAAAAAGTTAGGTTACACTACTAGAAGATTCGTCACGTACGCACACAGGTGGCGCTAGTGTTCTTATTTAAAAAAAGCCAAGTGTCCAACCCTGACACTATTCCCCTATTATAAAATAAATGAAAATTTTCAGAAAATTTAAAGTTAAGAGTAACATTAATGTTCGGATGACAAAAAAATTGTTCAAATATTAATTTTTCATATAAAAATATACTTATAGTCATTGAAAAGAAAAGATTTTTTTGAAATAAAATTTTTGTCATAGTTTATTCTAAAATTTTTTTCAACAAATTAATTTTATATCAATAAAACTATATTTTTCATGTTTCTAAGAATATTTCCCATCGATTAAAAAGAATAATTGACTGAATTTCATCTATTTAAGTCAAAGATATGATATACAGAATTATAGAAACGAGAAAAAATACATTTTATGTACTATGTAAATATCAAGAGGGTATTCTCTGAAAGCCATAAGAATAATTACCGTGTCTCTTGTATTTTAATAAAATATAAAGGGTCATTTTCTAAAAGAGATGTCGCATAATTGTATTAAATGAACTGCATTCTTCTCTATTATTTTGAATAAAGAATCATCGATTACAGCTATTATAATAAATATACAACTTCCTCTATTTTATTTTGTAAAAATAAACTAAAATCAATATTCTATAAAAGAAGTGGGGACTGAAAACGTATCATTCAATTGTAAACCATTAACTATATTGTCGTAGTGTCTTGAATTTTAAAAGAAAATATTTTTGCCTTTTAGTATAAAACTTATATATTGTAATATGTCAAAAGAGAAAAATAACAAACTAATAATGAGACACGAGGAGAATATTTTACCAGAATCATTTTTTTTAATGAAATTTTGTGGCCTATGGCAACCATATAATTTAAATTTATTTCAAAAAATAATTTATGATATTTATTCAATTTTTATGATAATTACCATAATAATAACTGGACTTTCTCTAATAGGAGTTATAATTTCATCTGAAAATATAAAAGATGCTATTGTAGAAAATTCTTTTTTACTTCTTAGTTTTTTTAATAGTTGGGTTAAAGGATCAATTCTTTTACTTCGACAAAGAAATATTAAGTCACTATTAAAAGTATTAATGAGAGAACAGTGTCATCCTACCGATATCATTGAACTAGAAGTTCAGAAAAACTATGATAAAGAATCAAAGTGAGTTTCAGAAATAAAAAAAGTTTTTGAAATGAAAATTTTTATAACTACCATCAACCGGGGTAATTATACCCATAAAAATATTATAGAATTAGCTTTAGAATTTGTTTTTTCATTCTGACAAAAAATTAAGTATATATAATTACATTTAGTTCCCTTTGTAGTGCACAACTATTAAACAATATTTAAATAAATAATATAAAATATAATTTTTAAATATTTAAATTCATTTTATTTAATTATTTTAATTAAATTTATTTATTTAAATATTTTAAAATAAATCATTTTTATGCAAAAAGTAATATGAAATTCAAATTACATATATTCTTTATAGAAGAATTACGATTATCTACTCATCTTCAGTGGGTTTAACTGTTGTATGCATGTGTTTAGCTGTTATTTCTAAACAAGGAGAAGAGAGAATAAAACTTTTAAATACCTGGCGTCCATATAATTTGACAGTGCCATTATATTTTTGGATTACATGGATTTATCAATTTTTGGGATACATAGTTTTAGCAAGTGTTCATTTAGCCAGCGACACTTTATTACCTGGCTTTATCATTCAACTTTGCTGTCAATTGAAATTTTTACAATATCGATTAAATGAATTTCCATGTCAAATTGAAGAAATTTTAAATTCTTTTAAATGTGATAAGCTCAAATTAGAAAAGTCATTTATATCAAAAACTATAATACATCATAATACAATATTTCAGTAAGATTTTATAAATTATTTCAATGAAAATATGTAATTTAAGAAATTAAATTAAATATTTAGCCCACGTGAAAATGTTCCAGGCAGACTCCCGGGAATTTCTCAAAATGAATTTCCGACAATTTTAGCTTTTAAGGGGTTAACTTCTGCGAAGAAGTTGTCAAGAAATAAATTGAACCAAGGGTAGTCACCTGAGCACCTCGTAGAGTTTGACATTGCATTTAAAATTAAAATTTTCAGATGAATTTGTTGAAAAATTACATGGTGTTCCTAGTGTTGGGTTTTCTTGTTTTTAATATTAATATTTCACAAGAAGTTCAAATTAATTATCTAAACACTAAATATACTTTTAAAAAATTCATTTTGAGAAGAGCTAAAACTTCAAAATCATTTCAATATGGGTGATTCTCCAGAAACAGGTCACTTTTGATTCTTTGATTAATTAGTTAATAAATATTATCTAGAATTGGTTTATTTTTTTTTAATTTCTTCATTTTAATGATCTTTAATAAACTCATTATCAATATAATGATATTTTACTTCCCAAAATTTATTTTGTCATCTGAAATATGCTAAAAATATACTTTTGCTCGTTCCACACATGGATTTTGCTATTTTTGAATAAGATTTTTGACATTAAAATTAAAAAAATAAAATTTGTCATTACAGTCATTTTAAAGTATGGCTGAAAAACTGTTATTCCCTAAAAGGGTTTTTAATTTTTCGTCCATTTAAATAAAAAAATGTTTATTTATAATGTTTCTTCGTAAATTTTTTTCTGGATCCGGAGTTGAGAATTTGACTAGTTTTTCGAGGTTTTGCTTGTTATTTTCATTGTAACTAAAGCAATTTTTTGATAAATATGTGTAAAAATCCCAATTGAATAAAAATCAACGGTACTAATTAACTAATTAACTTTTAAATTTATATTATTAAACAATACAATTTGCGTATTTTTATTATGTCTCAACTCCGAACCTGTTTAAAACAATCGTTTTTCAAAATAATTTTGAATTTCAACCTATAGTATCGATAAAAGTAATAAAATTGTATAAAATCCCTAAAGGATTTTTTATTTAGTCCTTAATTAACAAAGTAATTAATGTTTTTCATTTGTTTCTCAACTCCAGCTCTCTCAACACCGGCCCCCGAAATTTTATTGAGCATGCGCAAGTTTCGCGCGAGCAGAAACGACACTCAACTACAGGGCCGTCATTCAGCTTTTCAGTTCCCTTGCGTTTAAGAAACGTGTTGACCGTGTTGACAGTTCCCGAATTTATTTATTATTTAATGTTCTTATAATTAAGTTAAAATTAAATAGGAAAATTGGTAAATAAATATAAAATGAACAAATATGGAGCATAAATATTAGAAGATTTACAATCTTGGGACATTTTTAAATTTTTTGATGTTGCTCTACTTTTTTTATTTTTATAAGTACTTTAACAAAAGGATAAAATAATATTTTAGGACATAATTTTTTTATATTTTTTTAAAAGTTTCTAGTCGGCAGTGTTTATTTTTAAAAAGTTGTTTATTTTAACAAAAAATTTTTAAATTTAAAGAAATATTTTGTTTAATTTTTTTTCTCTATTTTTATAAAAAAAAGCCGAGATAAATTTCTACAAAACAATTAATTTTTGCAAAGAAATTATTGTTTTGTTCTCGAAAAATTAAATATTAAAAATTTAATTACATGTCTGCGCAAAAACAATGGTGCCTGGGGCCCCGGCCGCCCTTGCTACGCTATTGCGCTGAAAGTACTACAATACATATTTATCGTTAAAATTACATTAAAAACGGTTTTTAAGCTCAAATATTTATTAGAATCACTTGTTCCAATCATAATTAATAAAAAGGATGCAATAAACATGTATTTTTAAATAATTTTGAAAAAAAAATTCCTTATTCAAAAGTGACCCGTTTCTGGAGAATCACCCATATAAGTCTAAAAGAAGAAAAATTCCCTTCCAAGTATATTTAAATTTTAAATAAATTAAATTTAAATATTCAATATTAAATTCTTGTTTAAATTATATTTAATTTGATTCTTCTTTTTTTTTGTTAAATAGATTTGCAAAACATCTCAAAAGCACATTTGTGGAAATGCTTTTTATACAATTTTTATTAAGTCTAATTATCATTTGCTTTAGTGTATTTAAAATTTCCAAAGAAAATACAGTTAATTATGTAAACGTAGTGCCACTTTATGCTTATGTCTGTTGTATGTTGATGCAACTTTTCATCTTTTGCTTCTATGGTAACAAACTAATGTTAAATGTAAGCCATAATTTTAAATTAAATTTTATTTGAATTTAAGGAAGAACCCTCGATTTTGGAATTGACAGACAGTTTTTGATGAAAAATAGCACACTAGTAGATATTGATTTAAAAAAGATGTAGTTAAATTTTTAGAGGTCGATGTTGAATATGCGACAAAAGTTATAAACAATTTTATTTTTTCACATATTACACGGTGTCTTATGGGAAAATGCACTTTCATTATCTTCCAAATTTAATTGTAAGAAATATGACAAACAGGTATTCATATAACTTTTTACAGTTAAAGTTAAATATCGAATTGAAATTGTTCCGATAAGGTTTTCAAATGAATTATTCTCGTCTGCCTTCCCACTGTTTTTATTTTTGAGCTTAGATTCTTCATTATTTCTAATTTCACAAACACCACGAAGGTTTTTTCCCACCTCCTGCAGCCTACAGCGGTTCTTATAAACTTCTTAGCTAACTTTTTAACCCTTCCAATAATAATTTTTTGATGGTTTCACAGAATTTCCTTCTAATAAATTTAATTCCGACATGATCCCGGCAAGATGGAGTGTATTAATTAAAAGGTATTAAAAGGTATTAATTAGCATTGAAAAAAAACAGACAATCGAATGCCATTAAATGCTAAATATAAATCCGTTTCTTTCCGGAATCCCAGTTAATGCCTTTGGTAGTTTATAAATCTATCTCGTTTCAATCCTTTTGAATCCACAAAAATTTTGTGTAAAATTTGAATGCCATTCAATGCCTCAATAAAAATTAGAAGTTGAATGAAGTCAATGCCATCCAATGCTGTTCGTGTTTAATCCCTATTAATATTTTTTAAGGAGTGGGCGTCTAACAGGATGAATTCTTTTTAATCCTTTTCATAAATTTATTTATTTTAATGCCTTTTACAGAAAGAAAGTGCTACTCTACAGTTGATTAGAAATTAATTGATTACAAATTAATTTGAATGACCATATTTTTGATAAAGTGATTAAAAAGACGAATGCCAATTAATATTTTTTAATAGATTAAATAATTTTAATTACATTTATTGGTTTCTAATTTTATAAATTATCCAAAAATCAATATTTTTATAATTATAAATGTCATTCAGCAAATATAATTATTATTTAAGAATAATTAATTTTAATTTAATGCCTTTTGATCCCTACTAATATTCTTGTAGGGATTCAAAAGTATTTGGAAGAAAACGGAATTAAAAGGCATTGAAAAGTTTCAATCCATTTTAGTCCCTTCCTTGATTGGTACAAATTAAAACTTGGTTATTGTTTTGAATAACTATATCACAACTAAAAAAAAAGTAGAATTTTTACCCCAAAATCGGTATAAGAACTAACTGCAACAAATTTTATCCTAGTTGAGGGCGCCACTGTCTATGTGAATTAGCATTGGTTAAAATTACCCGTAACAAAATTTATCAAGCGTTTTTTCTGTGTACAGGGAGGGTTCTTCCTTAAAGGCCAAAGCAGAATAGATTCTTGAAGAAGGAACGCAATCGGCAACGTAAACGTAGGAATGCGTAAGAGAAGGATAAAGATATTTGCTATCCTTCTCTTACTCATTCTTACGTTTCCGTTTATGATTGGGTTCTTGTTCAAGACTCTATTCTGCGCTTGAGCCTTAATTCTACAAGAACAAAAATCAAAAAGAAATGTATTTTGTTTTAAATTTAAAAAAAAATTACATTTAAAATATTATCAAATAATATATTATTAGAGTAGTAATTTGCAAGACACTGTTCTTGGAATAAACTGGCTTTGCCTTGAATCAGGAACGAAAAAAAGCCTTATAATTTTAATGATATGCTCCACTAAACCCATTTTAATTTCTGCTGGTTCAATGATGTTTGTCAACTTGGATTCCTTTGTAATGGTTGGTAATGTTTTATTCTAATAAAATTTGACATTAACGAACAAGTTGAAAGTTCAGTCAAATGGAGTTTCGGTGAAATAAGAATTACCTCACTTAAAAATATCAGCTAAAAAGAATTTTTATTAAATGACGATTCTGTTAAATAAAAAATAAGTCGAATAGAAATTTTCATTAATAAAAGTTTTGTTAAATAAAAATTTTGTTATATAGAAATTCTGCCAAATAAAAATTCGATAATTTTTAATTCGACAGCACAAAAATTCCGACAGGTCTAATGTGAAGAATATTCATGCATTCCAACAATAATAATTTTAGTTATTTTTCACTAACGATTGTAGTAGATAAATGACTATATAATTTTTTTTACAGTTTCAATCCTTTTTATTAAAATCGTATAAAAATAGAAAAAGGTATTAAAAATTTTCATTGATTCTGATTTTGAGAGTTTTAAAATTTATTAACATTTTCAGATTCTGAAGGCTTCGTATTCAGCGTTTAATGTCTTACAACATTCTGTATAACTATCTTGTTAATAATTATTGAATTTATGAGCAAACAAATTATGAAAAATATATTTTCATATAAATGATTTTACCGTTACATTTACTTTATCTCACATTTTCTATTATTTTAATCAAAAGAATAAAGTCAGGAAAAAGACATTGTATTGAATAATAAATATTTATATTATATATATACAGTAAGATTATTTGACTATGAATCACCCCCAATATAGTGTTAAAGTTTATGCAGACTTTAGTATATATTACTTTAGAAATATGCAACCCGATTTACAGAGAAGTTTGAAAAAAAAACATTGAAGAGGAGTCATTTTTAAATTTGACACTTGAAATTGGATACGCGCGATGATTTAAGTCATCACGTGATAGCAGAAAAGGCATGTTGGAAACCATTTTGGTTATATACGAAATCAAAACATAACCCCAAATAATCATCGTATTTGACATTATTAAAAAAAACAAAAAGAAATAAAAAATAAATAGTCATTAAAAGATTATAATAATGATAAAAAAGTGTCTTTTATTACAGTAATACTCCGGACTTACGCGATAGGTTGGACCGAGCGACGACCGTGTAAGTCGAATTTGCGTAAATCTGGGTTTAAGTTTTCATATAAAATAAATAGGGGAATAGTGTCAGGGTTGGACACAGTTTTGGTTTTTTGTTTATAAATATTTTGTTTAGATAAATTCAGTCAATTGTGGTATATAAGTGGAAAGATCTACAAAAGAGAAACACTTTTGCTGTGGACCGTAAATTGATTGGTCCAAAATTAAAAAAGTTATAAACATTTAGAAAAAAAAATCTAGTCAGGGTTGGACACTTTTTGAAAATCGAAACGCATTATTGGTAAAAACGTAAAATAACATTTGTAATGTTTTTTATTCTTATTTTTTCATGTTTATCTTTACTTATTGTTTACAAATTGTAAAGCTTCATGGGTTTAAAAAAGGAATGAACTCAAATTACAAAAAATAACGCTTTATTGTTCCAAATAACTCAATGAAATGATGAACAAAATTTATACAATTTAAGTATTATTTTCCTAATATATTTGGCACAATTTTGCACTGAAATATCAATAAAATAAAATTTATTTGTATATTTTTTTATAAATTGTGTCAAATTCATAATTAATATGGGTGTCCAACCCTAACTAGAAGCATCATTTTCGAATTGTGCTAACCATAACCAGACATGTGTCGCGATTCGATTTTTCACTTTTTTTCTTCTTAAATTATGTACCCCACAATACATTCAATAAGCTTATCTTGACGAATTCTTGCTTTTTTTAACACATTTTTTAGGTTTATTCACAAGTCAAACAAAACTTTTTTTGTCTCTTCGATTGCACCGAAGTCACAGCAGACGCTATTTTTGATTCTCCAAAAATGTAATGCCACAAAAAGTTAGATTACACTACTAGAAGATTATTATACACTGAAAAAAAAAATTTAGTGTTTGCAACAAAATTGTTTGGTTAGGCAATTTTGTTTCTTGTAACCAAATTTTGGTTGGCTGAAACAAAGTCGTAGGGTTATCTCAACCAAACAATTGGTTAGGCCAACAAAATTATTTGGTTGAATATTTTTAAATTCCAACCAAAATTTAGTTACGACAACAAAATAATTTGGTTAACACAACTCCCGACCTTCAGTTTTAAAACAGAGGTTCGATCCCAGGCGGAGGTGAGATTTTTCAAAGTCTATAAATATATTTCAATTGGATAAATATAAATTCAATGTTAAATAATTGATAATAAATAAATAATGAGATAAATAAAAAAGATATAAAGAAAAGAGATAAGGTAGAATAAAATTTTTAATTTTACAAAAAAAACTGTTGGTTTGATCAACCAAACATTTTTGTTGACCTAACAAAAAAAATTTGGTTGAGCTAACCAAACATTTTTGGTATGCCAACAAAAAAAAATCAACCAAATTTTTTGGTTGACTCAAACAAATAGTTTGGTTGCTTAAATACCAACAAAATTTTTTTGTTGGCCCAAATAAATTTTGGTTGCTCTGACTAAACATTTTTCTCAGTGTTCGGTGATTTTTGATATTTTTCTATCATTTTTTGAAAGAAAAAGTTTCTATTAGTACCTATTATTATATGTAAATATAAGGAATGAAACTATTTTAACACCAATTCACTTTCTTATCGATTATATTAAAATGTAAAATGATAAAACCAGTTAACGGAATTCTAAATACAGAAAATGAAATATTTTATTCTAATATACTTGTTACAGGGCGTATTTAACATCTGGAATTTTTCATAATACAATTATGAATTTCGCAAAAACTATTCTACTTTTTGTTTCTAAATATATTAAACTTTATTATTTTTATTTTAGGCATTTCTTAAAAAATAGTGATGAAATCTATAAACACCCCAAAATCTGCTAAATCTTCCGCAATTGTAACTTAATATACTAAATATGAGTGTCAAAATATTAAATATATCCTTACAAGATTTCTTTCCGTGTATCACTTTTGAATCGAATCTCGATCCACATTTTGTGACAAAAAAAATTATAAGTTTCATTAATTACATTAAAATTCTCAGAGTGAGTGTGTTCGAAAAAATTGGCTAATTCGGATGTACGACGAGTGATTTCATCAACTGTAAGTAGATACTTGTGAAATACATTTCTACACATTTTTCTTATTGAATCCAGATCAATCCCATATTTTGCATATTGGTTCTTTATCACATTTAAATGCATCACTAAATCCTTTTACGTTTGCCATGAGTCCATTTATTCTCAAATTCGATTTTGGATGAACATCAGTATTTATTCTCGCTAAATATTCTGGTGTTCCGCTCTCACAATTTACCTATTAAATAAATTAAATTTTTATGTAATTGCATATATTATCATTAACAGTCTGAAAACGTAAACAAGACTTACAAAAGCCATAGAAACAAAATACAATTGATCTAAATCCAAGTTTTCTAATCCTGGTAAACGTTTATCTTTAATATTTTCTTTCTTCATTTTTTGCTTGTAAGCTCCATAAGCTGCAATCAACCCTCCGGTATCAGCAATAGTTTCACCTTGAGTTAGTTTTCCGTCTACCTAATTTACATAAAAATTTTTATTTTTCAATTATATCTCATTCAAAGTGTTGTTTGAATAATATTCAATTAAGTTTCATTTACTTTATAATTATTATAATGATCCACAAAACATTTGGCCCTCTTCTCATATTCATCAATCATTTCGTCTGACCACCAAGGAATTCTATTTCCATTTTTATCATATTTTCGTCCTAATGTTAAAAATAATATACACATTTAAAATAAATAATAATAATAAATATTTTTGATAATTTAGAAATTTTATTTTTTTAAATAATGAAAAAATTTTTCTAATCTATACGATTGATTGTTCAAAATTATAAAAAAAGTGTAAAAACAAATTGGCTATAAAAAATAGTAAAAATTGTTAAAGAAGTTCAATTTTTAAAGAATTGACAATGCAATTAATCAAAATTTACATATAAATGTAAAGTTACCAGAAATCTTCTTTAACTTACTGTCTATTGCATAACGAGCAGCTTTTTTATTTTAACAAAAAAGTTTTTTTGTAGATTATTTATAAAAAAATTGATTTTTTTTCCAAAATAGTCCCAAATTTTAAAATAATTGCTTTTTTTTATTTTCTCTTCGTCATGCAAAGCGTATTTGTGTACTTAAACGATAAAGATTTGATTTTTTGATTATGGTTAATATTTGAGATCAGTATCCAATCTCCATTTTGCAATATTTTTAATTTAAAAAATTATTATACATAGCTTATATTGTACACTTCAAGGTATGCTTTATTTCAATTCAATAAACTTTACCACTTTTTTTATAAAATATCTTGAAAAAACGTGCATTTATACGAGTTTCCCCTCTTAAATCATTAAGCAACCGAGTATAGATGATTTTTTCTACAATGGTCTTAATTATACTATATACTAATATTTAAAAATAAACGTGTATCAAATTACCTTGGTCATCAAATCCATGAGTCATTTCGTGACCCATTATATAACCTATATATCCGTAATTTATCGCACTGTTGAAATAAAGAGGAAAGTTTTTTTTAAAATACGGTTAATTAAGAATTTTTTAAATACAAATATATGAGAAAATTCGTTAAAATAATAAGTACAAGTTATTAAAAGAGTGTTTTTTTAATAAATTGAAATTTTTTACTTTCTAAATTTGAATCAGTGAAATTTCACTGACAAAGTACACTACTCGGACAGCACCGAAACTTCCCTGAACCTTGACTGAACCTCGCTTGACGAGGTTCGGGAACTTGAGTCGCGAAGTCCAAACCAGGTTGAGTTAATGTTTAAATGTCCGCGCATAATAAAGGTCAGTCACAGAGGTTGGCTGAATATTGGATTTGAATCTCTGTTAAATATTAAAATTAAAGATTCTTGGCATATTGTGAGGGGATATTTAAGAAAATTAAAAATTCAAGATTTGTTAAATGTAATCGTTAAATATTCTGGAAATTTAGAAGGAGCATAAATACAGAAAAATAAAAAGAAAGCAAATGAATTTAAAAAAACCAATGAGAAAAATTAATAACAAATAATTAAATTAAAATAAAAAAATGGACATCAAAGTATTAGTGAAACCTTTTTTTCCAAAAAAGAATTTGTCTCAAATCCAATAAATAGGAGAGACATCGGGCAGAAAAAAAAATTTCGACAAGAAAAAAAATTTACGATCACTGCTTATATACCAATCTAATGGCACCTCAACTGTGAGAAACAGTTATGATGTTCGCCCTCCCTGTGGCGTTGAGCGAACTAAAGTCCAGAGCTGAACCATCAGCGCAGCGCGGAACATTTGAAAAATTTGGTTTTATTAGATATTTTATTTTAAATATGACAAATAATTAACTTAATAAATAATTAATGTCATAAATAATTATTAATAACATAATAACATACTTAATAATTCGTTAATTAATTATTTTTAACGTAAAATTTAAAAAAAAAAATTTGTTGTCAAAAAAATATCACGATGAGAAAATAATTTTTTGTCAAATTTTCTCAGTAAATAAATTCATTAACTAAATAAGGGAACGTCCATAAACTACGTTACCAATTTTTCAACTTTTTAGACCCCCTCCCCCCCCCCTTCGTTGACAACTTTACATACAATTTTATAAGTTTTAACATTAAGCGTAGGTTTAGCCCGGACCCCCTCCCCCCCCTGAATTGGTAACGTAGTTTATGGACGTTCCCTAACGTAATTATTAGTTACTACATTTTTTTACAACAAAAATGTAACAAAAAAATATTTGTAGCAAAAAAATAATATCAAGATGAGAATTTTAATCATTTTTAAATTTTCTCTGTAAAAAAATATTTTGTGGCCCAAAAAAAATTATCATGATAAGAAAATAACTTTTTTGTCAAATTTTCTCTCAAAAAAAATTAATTTACTAAATACCGTAATAATTAGTTGATTTTTTTTAATACGAAAATTTACCAAAAATTTATTCGTAGCACAAAACAATATCACAATGAGAAAATAATTTTGTTGTAAAAATTTCTCTCTAAAAAAAATTTAACAAAAAAATTATACGTAGCACAAAAAAATATTACGATGAGAAATTTACTTATTTTTAAATTTTCTCAGTAAAAAAATTATTTGTGGCCACGATGAGAAAATAAATTTTTTTTTCAAAATTTCTCTGTAAAAAAAATTAATTAAATAATTAGCTAAATAATTGTCTTGAAAAATTTTTTTTTACTACAAATATTTAACAAAAAAATTATTTTTTAATGGTAATATTTTTTTTGACAACAAATTTGTTTTTTGTCAAATTTTACGTTAAAAATAATTAATTAACGAATTATTAAGTATGTTATTATGTTATTAATAATTATTTATGACATTAATTATTTATTAAGTTAATTATTTGTCATATTTAAAATAAAATATCTAATAAAATCAAATTTTTCAAATGTTCCGCGCTGCGCTGATGGTTCAGCTCTGGACTTTAGTTCGCTCAACCTCAACGCCACAGGGAGGGCGAACATCATAAATGTTTCTCACAGTTGAGGTGCCATTAGATTTGTATATAAGCAGTGATCGTAAATTTTTTTCTTGTCGAAATTTTTTTTTCTGCCCGATGTCTCTCCTATTTATTGGATTTGAGACAAATTCTTTTTTGGAAGAAATGGTTTCACTAATACTTTGATGACCATTTTTTTATTTTAATTTAATTATTAATTATTAATTTTTCCCATTGGGTTTTTAAATTCATTTTCTTTCTTTTTATTTTTCTGTATTTATGCTCCTTCTAAATTTCCAGAATATTTAACGATTACGTTTAACAAATCTTGAATTTTTAATTTCCTTAAATATCCCCTCACAATATGCCAAGCATCTTTAATTTTAATATTTAACAGAAATTCAAATCCAATATTCAGCCAACCTCTGTGACTGACCTTTATTATGCGCGGACATGTAAACATCAACTCAACCTCGTTTGGACCTCGCGACTCAAGTTCCCGAACCTCGTCAAGCGAGGTTCAATCAAGGTTCAGGGAAGTTTCGGTGCTGTCCGGGTAAAGCGTCAATCGAGAACACGTCAGTCGAAAACAGAGCATGGGAACACTTGAGGGGAAGTGGGGAAACGGGTAGAATTTAGGTTATGACTGACGCCAGTGTCGTACTTGTGATTTTTAAATTTAAGGTGTATTCAGTGTCTTACTAGTGAAAATCTCCTAGATAAAATTCACATTGTTGCGTAAGGCACTTCATATGGCCCTGAGTGTTTTTATTTTCGAGCGATAAATATCGCGTTGATCAAGAACAGCACTACACATTCGTCTGTTCTCGATTGACGTTTTAGTGTATTTGGAATTTAGCAACTGAATTATTTCAATAAATTTTCACTGAAATTCAGTCACATTTAACTGAAAACCAGTAATAAAGAATTATTACTGATTTAAACAGTCAAATCTACATTATCATTAATCGGTAAAACAGATTTGACTGTTTTAATAAGTAAAGATTTCTACTAATTTACAGTGAAATATGACTGAATATCAGTGGAAATTTTACTGAAATTGTTGAGTTGCTAAATTCCAACTATTTCATTAGTAAAATCTCACGGATTTAAATTTAGAGAGTATAGTTCTATTCATAAAATTGTGAAGCGTTAATAATTTATTAATTGAAAATATAGACATACTTACAGAGGTAAATTCAAATTATATATGGGAAGTGAAAGTAGTGCAGCTGCAACATCTTTTTAACAAATTAACATTAATATTAAAAAAAATTACTTATATCTTTAACTATATTGCAAAATTCTTTTAAATTATATACTCTAAAATTATTATTTTCGGATAAGTTTGCCAATTACTGCGCGATTTAAATGTTAAAGTGTTATTTATAGATATATTTATACAAAAATTAAATTCCCAAAAATATAAAATATTTAAACAAATTAATCAACGTTTAATTTTAAAGAATAAAATTAATAATAATATAGTTTAAGCCCTTCGCAGTCTAGTGTAAAAATCATCGTTTTTGGACCCAAAACAATAAAAAAAAAGTTCCCAAAAAAATATTATTTCATTGTATGCAACCCTTGATACATAAAACAGGTTTTAAAGAAAGCGCAGTAATTGATATCTTACAGTTACTCTACATCAATAAAAAAAAGTTATCAAAACGTATTTTACATTTAAACAAAAGTAAATTTTCTTTGAACTTACTCAAACTATTCGTGCTTAGTTCATAACCAGCATTATAGGTAAGTGGTGACATAATAACTCTGTAAAAATACATTAAAATTATGTGCTTTAAAGTTAAATAACCTAATCCTATTACATCCCAGATAGCACCGAATTTTGCAGGAAGTTAACAGTAAGTTAACGACCATAAGCTCGGAAGTTAACACTGTTAACTTCTCGCTAACTTCCCAGAAGTTTTAAATGTCTTCAGAGTTAACACTCTAAACTTGCTGGAATTTATAAAGCTCATTTTGAGTTCAGGTTTTTTCTGTGTTAACAGTGTTAATTTAAACTCTGAGGACATTTAAAACTTCTGGGAAGTTAACGGGAAGTTAACAACGTTAACTTCTAAACTTATCTTAGTTAACTTCCTATTAACTTTCTGTAAAGTTCGGTGCTATCTGGGATGAAATTAATACATAGTAATGACTTACGGCTCAGAAACATTGCTCTTTAGTTCACGAATATTTTTGGCTGCTTCAAATCTTATATGTTTAAAAAAAGCGATTTTATTTTCGAAATAATCTGGACCTAACGGAACCTGCAAAATAAATATTAATTAAAATTTTCTTAATTTTTAATTTTTCAAAAAATTTAATTAATTTAAAACATTTTTTAACTCAAAATGTTTTAAATCAATTAAATAATTGAAAGAAATTTTTTTCTTCACACAATGAAGAAGCAAAATGTTCGATAAATGAAAATAAAAGAACACCCTACTTTTTTATTTTTAAATGCTCATAACTTTTCAATTGAACTTTTTATAAACTTCATGCAAAAAATTATAAAATTTACTATATGTTTTTGTAATTAAAAAGGGTTAAAATCTTGTTTGCTTTCTCGTGGTGGAAGCTTTGTAGTCCTTTCGTTTACCTATATTAAAATTGTTTTTACCTAATAAACGAAAAAAAAATTACAAAAAATATAGTAAATTTTAATTTTATAATTTTTGGAGGGTATAAAACAATATCTTGGTTAGGCATGAAATCCCTCATTTAAAATGTACATTAAGGGGTTATTAATCTGCAATGCCTGCTCCATATATTATCAATGGAATTTCACTGACTAGTTGTGAAAATTACTGCAAATTAGTGTTTAATTATATTAGCATACCTCATCATTTATATGTTCATCACTTGAATTAATTTCCGAAAAAAACGATTCTGAATAACCAATTACAACTTTAATTGCCTTGAGTTTTTCCTTAACCAGGTTCTTTGTTTCATTATTCAACCAATTGGAGTTCGACATTTGTACTTCAATTTCATGTTGGATTTCTTTAGCCATGGTTGTCGCCTATTCCAACCAGAAATTAATATATTTCATTACTTGTGACACTGTTGTCAATGTAAATTATTTGTATTATATATTATTGTATTTTAATCATAACTTACCGATTCTTTTGTCGTGTTAGGAAATTGACGTTTTATGAATTCAAAAGACGTTCCGAAATTGAATGGCAAACTATCGAAACAATATTCCCACCTAACAATTTGAAAATTTCAATTTATAAATAGATGAACAACAACATATATGTGTTTTGGATAGTTAAAAGGGACTAAAATGCACTTTTGCGTTAATATATGACTTGGGGATTCTTGTGCTGAAATAAAAACTATCCTTTTAAAAATTAAAAAAGTATAGAAAATTTCGAAATTATTTGACCTTTCTGATGGTTTGATGATTCCTACATCAGCAGTTTTCTTCGTGTCATAAATGAATTGTTTTATTTCTTTATCTAAATATGGAAGGGTCTCCACTATAAACATCCAATGAATGTAATTGACTGAAAAAGATTTATATATTTTAATTAAAATTTTACATTATTTAATTTAAGAGGAGGCTCCTCTTATCGGATTCTCGTACATTTTCCCGAATACAATTTCCTAAATACTTTTTTACCGAATGCATTATTACGGAATCAATTTTATCTAATGTAATTATAATAAACTTGTCGAAGTTTATAAAGTAGACATCCTAAAGAGTAGGTTATATCTATAAAATAGTCAAAAAGTTAAAAAATGACAAAATGGCGTACACTTTTTTAAAAAAGTGCGATTTTTTCACTATTTTTACAAAAAACAAAAAAAATGATCAGATCTGATTAATTCTTAGCCCTCCTTAATTAGTTAATTTAATATATATATATATATATAAAATTTATTAAAATATTTTATTTTTATTGTACCAATTGTTCTTTGATCTGTTTTTTCTAGTAGTTGACTTAATTTATTGAAGTAAGTTTTGTCAAGTACAATTATTTTTTCTGATTCATCAATAACAACATCAGTATTATTGTAAACGGCTTTAATCATTTCGAGCCAATTAATCTAAAAACAATAAATATAAACTAAAGTTATTAACAACAAAAATAATAATCATACACTGAAAAAGGGTTTGATATTGACAACCAAACGTTTGGTTAGTATTTAAGCCACCAAAATTTTTTTGTTGAATCAACAAAATTTTGGTTGTCCCAATCAAACTTTATTTAGGATAACAAAAATCCTTTTTTATAATTTTGGTTGTGACAAACAAATTTTGATTGAGACAATTAAGATTTTGTTGATTCAACAAAAAAATGTTGGTTGCTTAAGGCTAGGTCCAAGTCGAGTCAGCTGTTCCTTTGAAGTTTCAATGGAACAGCTGACACGACTTGGACCTAGCCTTAAATACCAACCAAACGTTTGGTTGTCAATACCAAACCCTTTTTTCAGTGTAGTAGGATGATACCAATATTAATATAAATTGAAGAGTTAAATAAATTTTCGTATGAGCTAAATATTCGTAATAACAAGAAATAACATTTTTTTACCTTTGATATCGTGCTTTCATTAGTATTGTTATGATTATATAAATTCTGAAAATCGCTAATTCGCATTATTTCATATCCAAATTCTCTTCTTTCATTTAGAGTTAATTTAATCTAATAAGAATAAATTGATTAATAATACACTTTTCATTTCTTCAAATATAATTTGAAATTAATGCGATTATTACCTTCTCCAAGGAATTAATAAAATCAAACAAATTCCTACTGTCAATTTCGATTTTTTTTTCGTCCCTCATTCCTTCGGATTCTGAATATTTAGAAATTGCTTTGTTTAGAAAATTTTGAAATTTTGTTATATCATCATTATTATCGTTATTTCCATTACTGTATGAAATAAATTGATTATTATAATCACTACTTTCCATATCATTCAAAAAATTGATGTTAGGCAGAAACTTATTTTCTTGAGTAATCTGCAATATTATAAAATTTGTAATGTACATTTTATTATCGTAAAATTGGCATTTTGCTGTTTCATACTCTCTAAAACTGAATTAGTGAAAATTTCACTGATTTTAATTAAGTAATTTACTTTTCATGATTTCAATCAGTGACTTTTACTAAATTTGGCCAATTCAGCTCAATATTTATATATTCATTATTGTAAAAGATTAATTGCTTCTTACCGCAATCATGTGAAGTGTGGAATTTTTTGGATTAGATGAAGTACCTATAGTAAATAAACCATATCCTCCTACAATATCGACATAATAATAAACAACATCTTGCCAAGTGATTTCTTTTTTTTCCCATTCAGTTGTATTCATAACCATTGGCCAACCACCAATCTTGTCTATAATTTTCTTCAACGGTTCCAATCCTTTTTTCTTAATTCTGTCTAAAATTATTCATAATATATTTTTTAATTTCAAGTTTTCATTAAATATTATTGTTATTTCATTGAAAATAAAAATTATTTGATTTAACAACAATCGGCTATATTTATTATCAAAGCAGATATTTTCTGCAATGAATAATTATTATCGTTCTGAAGGTGTCTGAGTTAAATAATAAGTATTTGATTGAAATACAAAAAAATTATTGATTAAAATTAATTTTATTTGTTTTAATTAAAAATTACTTGCTTCCAATTAAATGGTGTTAAAAAAAAATGTTCTCGAAATTGCATAACGAATCAGATATAAACTTATTTAAATTAAATAAATTTTGTTTTCAGTGTACGGAAAAAAATATTTGGCATTGACAGCAAAACAATTTTGCTGCATTAATTTGAGAAACAAAAATTTTGTTCAGTCATCTTAAAATCTTTGTGTTTTATGAACAAAATGTTTTGTTGTCAAAGAAGAATATTCTTATCAGTGTAAATTGTTGAACATGAATTAGACTCATAAAAAATTAAATAATTTTATAAATGATAAGAACGAAAAAATAAATTAATATTGGAACAACTACAGTTTTCTATATCATTAGGTATATAAATTAAAATATTGAAATTAAAATTTTATAAAATAGTTACCTTCATCCATACAAGAATTATACCATTTTTTCTCGAAAACTAATGGCTCAGTATCCTCAGAACTTAGTGGCTTTTCTATAATGTCTGAAAAAATACCATAATGAAGAGTAAAAATAGTATATTTCGTAACGAGTGTGAATATTTGCAGATTTTTGAAAAAGTGTTTTTTTTGGGACGAGCTGTAGGCGAAGCGAAGCTTCGCCTACAGCTCGTCCCAAAAAAAACACTTTTTCAAAAATCTGCAAATATTAACACAAGTTACGAACGATACTTTTCATGACAAGGTGCAAAAAAACGCACTTTTTAGCACGGCGTGCTAAAAAAGTGCCTCTTTTTTGCACCGCGTTATGAAAAAATATAAATTTCCTTATACAGAAAAAACATAATTTCAAATTGAGTACAAAATTTACACTCAATTTGATTTTGATAATCGAGAATTTTTATTTTTAAAACTGACTGTATGAAACTTAAATAATTTTCTCTTTTTCCCTAAATTGAAACGGGTACTATATTAAATTTTTAAATAAAAAATCTCTGTATATAGCGCCATTGCCCCTCTCTATCCTACCTTTTAGAATAAATTTTCTTTCTTCTGTACTTATTTCAAATAAATCCCAGTTTTGTTTGCCTTTAGGAACCGGATAATTAGATTGCCATGAACCACATACGTAGGAATAAAAGTCATCGCAAGGATTTACGCTATCATTCATTCCCTTTTTAATTAATTCCGCTGTAAAACACAATATTATTGTTAAACACATTTTCAATAATTGTGTGCGTAGTTTAAAAAATTAAAGGAAAATTTATGTTTTTGAAACATTATCAAAAATAATGTTCAATTAGGTATGTGACGGCTTTTTAGGTATATTTTAAGAAACTAATACGAAATTTTTTGCTGTATTAAAAAGGCGTATGTCTCTTGTTAAAACAGTGTTTTTAATAGCATTTCTATATTAATTAATATATAATATTTATAATTAATATTATTACAGCACATAAATAAACAATGACAAAGTTGAAAATATTCAACTTAATCTGACATCACAGAAAATTATAAGACAAAGGTGCATCATAAAATTCATGTCTCAAAATTGGTACAAATTTTTTATTTACAATTTTATCAATAATTTATTATTTTAATATAAAAATGTTATTAAAAACACTTTTTTGACAACTAAAGACGTACACCTTTTTAATGCAGCAAAAAATTTCGTATTATTTTCTTAAGTTAATGGTTCAAATACAATAAATCTCAAAACCTATCTGAAAAGTTGTTTCATAATTGGTACTTTTACCAAATATTTGTTTTAATTTTCCAATATCAATAATAATAAACTTACCTAATGAGTGGCATTCCTTAGTTTCACAAACTTCCGAAATATTATTTTCAACATCACTTCCGAAAACAAGTGTTTTTTCTTCATTTATTATTAATAAAATTATTAAGTGGACGGCAAAAATTCTAGAACAATAAAATTTAATTTGACAATTAAATTTAATTATTTTTATATTTTAAAAATATAGAAAATGTTAAAATATAAATAATTATAAATAATGAATTTAAGCGGAGGGATAGGTGAAATTTCAACTCATTGAAATTAATGTTGTTAAGAGGTGACAATTTTTATCTGGCATTATTTGGGATCTAAAATTATTATGAATTATTAAAATTTTTAAGAAATTTTATTTTTTGAAAATATTAAAATTTTTAAAAATCCATACGATTGATTGTTCAGAATCATGAAAAAAGTATATATAAAAAAAATATATTTACAAAATTCGTCTGGATAATTAATGTATTTTATAATTAATTTAGGGTCAGTCGGGGTAAATCCGAACGAGGGGTAAATCCGAACGCTAATTATTTCAGCTTAATTAAAATTTTTAAAAATAAGTTCGATATGAGAATTTTTACCTCAGATCCTCTTGAAGAGATTCTAAGTATTATCCCATTTTTTGTTTGTTAATTAGCAACAGCATAAACAAAGATAACAAGTATTGCAAAAAAGATTGAAAATCAAAGATGACACTCTTTCAGTATTTTGTCTCGTATTTGAAGAAAAAGAAGCTAAAAATTCATTTTATTATTTATAATTGTTTGTTATGAATACTAGAACAGAAACTATATTTGATTTTTGCCTTCTGTAAAATTTTATTAATAATATCAGACCGTTCGTATTTACCCAAGAAAATTGGAAAACTGGGGTAAATCCGAACGGTATTTTTAATAATTTTTTTTTACATCAAAGCCACACAAAATTGTTTTTATTTGATTACACTATTATTTTAACATTATAAAAGTACATAGAAAAAAGTTTTTCTTTCTATACGTATCCTCGTTAGTAAATAATAAGCAGAAACTTAATCTCTGTTCTCTCGAAGGAGTGTTTCAATTTTTTTGCCAAATGGTTTGTTGAAAAAAGTTTTTCAGGATCTTAATAAAATTTGGTATTCTACGGTTTTTGGGGTCGCTAATTACCAATTTGAAGTCAGTTTTTCAAAATTCAAAAAGGCGGACGAGAATTAAAAAATTCATTGGATTCGCTCGAAAATTGTTACTCGGGGGGTTTCAGGGTTAGCAAATTTGATCATTTTTAAAAATAAGTTTTAGGAAAGTACGCCATTTTGAATTTAAAAAATTTGACTTTTATTTTTGTATTTACATTCAATCACTCCAAAATACTTTCTGTACCAAGTTTTGCAAAAATCCGTTATGATTTGATAAAGTTATTGAAGGTTTTAATTGTGTAATGCATTTTAATTTTTAACCTGTTTGATTTTTGTATTTATATATGATGCATTATTACATAATAGGTTTATTATCGTATTTTTTTTGAGTTTTTATATAAGTTTAACAATTGCAATACTTTAAATTTATTTTCCCTAAGATTTTTCTGAAATACAGTGGCGTTCGTATTTACCCCCATATTTTAGGAAAGTTGCAAAGTATCGAGGTAAATACGAACGCTAAGTTTCCTGCGATTGTAATTTATCAAAAAATTTTTCTACCCCATAAAATTGTTCTATGGAAGTAAAGTAACAACTTCATGCACCAGAATACCGGAAGTATTTTTTTTTTAAAGAAAAAACTTATGTTATTGTTGAAACTTACTAAAAGCGTTCGGATTTACCCCGGTTGACCCTATATTATATTATTTTATAATTAGAATAAAATGTTTCATTATACTTACAAGTAATGAGTATCGAACATGTTCCATAAATAAATAAATTATGAGAAAAAATAATTAAAAATTGCCCTAATGTAATCTCATAGAGCGGTTCAATTCAACAATATACTCATCGCGTTTTTACTAGAATCGAGTCATATAGGTATATATGCCTTAGATTACCCAACATCTCACTAGCACTATATTTAATTTAAACTAAAAATTTTTATGAAGAAAGAAATTTTTAATATTTTTGAACGTATCGGTAATCATGTTTTAATTTAGAATATATTGAGGCGCATTAAAATTAAATAAAAAAATAATTAAAACTTTTGTGAAGCGTCACTTTTATCAAATATAAATAAGAAATAAATGTATTTTCATATTCCAATGTCATTTATGATAAATGTCAATTATTAAAAAATAAAATTCTGTTAAAATTTTATTAGAACATTGCATCATTTTACATTTAAAATTTTTATCAATTTTTTCTTTATCTAACTTTATAATTTTTAAGTTAAATAGAATTCAAATTGAATTAAATGTTATATTAACTATTAATTTGATAATGTAAACATTTTATGTGTCACTCAGTTTTGGAAAATAAAAAATATCACTTTTTTAACAAAAATAAATATTACGCGCATCATAAAATGTAACAGCACACAGTAAAAACAAAGTCTTAAACCGTTTACACCTTAAATTAAGCCCATGTATTTTGCATAAGTCTGTTCTTGTTTATAATTGATCTGACTCCGTTTACACCTTAATTTCAGCAGTAATAACCTGGGCTCATTTTTGCTGCGATTTAAAATGTCCCAATGCTAAACGACATAGAACGTGGCGCCACCTACTTGACTCATTTTTGCTGCGGATCAAAATGATCCTACTGGCTGGATCATTTTTTGAGCCCGGGTTTTTACTCTAAGTTTTTTATTACCTTTCAAAGAACAATTTTTATCATAAAATCATTTAATTTAATTATAGAAGCAAACTTATAACAAATATTCTAATATTTAGAAAAAGAATTATAGAATAATTAAAAACAATTATTTATCAAAACTTTTTCTAGTCTATATTGCAGAAATAAAAATTATATAAAAATTATGAGCAAACAAATTGAAGTATTTTATTATTAAATATTTATTAAAATTATTTTTAATTCATATTGCAGTATTAAAAATTATTTTAAAATCAGGATGTTCAGGAAGACTTAAAGAAAACAATTCCCTGACTTTTCTCTGACATTTTTTTTTCGTGACTACTCATTAGTGATCGGTCAAACCCGATCGGACTCACTCGCTTAAGTTCGTCAAACTTCACTGAGAAAAAAAAATTTAGTGTTTGCAACAAAATTGTTTGGTTAGGCAATTTTGGTTCTTGTAACCAAATTTTGGTTGGCTGAAACAAAGTCGTAGGGTTATCTCAACCAAACAATTGGTTAGGCGAACAAAATTATTTGGTTGAAAATTTTTAAATTCCAACCCAAATTCGGTTACGACAACAAAATAATTTGGTTAACACAACAAAATAGTTTGGTCTAAAAAACCAAATGATCGTTTGTTGTCCTAGCCAAAATTTGGTTGCGACAACCAAATAATTTGATTCGCTCTCAGCTTATAGCTTAAAAGGACATAGTTAGTTTAAATCTCTCACAAGAATGGTAGTCCAGTGATCAGAGCTCCCGACCTATAGTTTTAAAACAGAGGTTCGATCCCAGGCGGAGGTGAGATTTTTCAAAGTCCATAAATATTTCAATTGGATAAATATAAATTCAATGTTAAATTGATAATAAAAAAATAATGAGATAAATAAAAAAGATAAAAAGAAAAGAGATAAGGTAGAATAAAATTTTTAATTTTACAAAAAAAACTGTTGGTTTGATCAACCAAACATTTTTGTTGAACTAAAAAAAAATTTGGTTCAGCTAACCAAACATTTTTGGTATGCCAACAAAAAAAATTCAACCAAATTTTTTGGTTGACTCAAACAAATAGTTTGGTTGCTTAAATACCAACAACATTTTTTTGTTGGCCAACCAAATTTTGGTTGCTCTGACTAAACATTTTTCTCAGTGTAGTTTTTCTTATACATATGAGAGATTCTTTTTCAATCGCCCCAGCCCAAAAAGTGAATGTTCTGAGATTGGCTTCATACTTTGGTAAATTGTTGTCCTATATGATAGTAATAAATCCCTAAAATATAAACTTATTAAAAAAATATTTGTATAAAGTAGAGGGGGTTGAAGTTTTAACGTTAAGGGTAACATTGTAATTTTCAAATCCGTATAACTATGACAAAAGTTAATGGATTTTAATTCACCTATAATGAATTTTAATGCATTTTTTACTTACTTTTCAAAAAAGTATACAAAATTTAGAAAAAAAAATTTTTGACCCCTTTTTTTCAAAATCAACCCTTATTTTTCGATTTTCACCCCTTCGTGTATTTTTTTTTATTTTCATTGGAAAGCTGAGGTTTTTTTCCCATGAGCTATGTAAATATGAAAGTGGGACAACAATAATTTTGTGAGAAACATAATATTAAATTAGGCGGTGCCTACCTAAATCCTCGAAGATGATCTCCAGGTATACCCGTTACCGGCACCGCCTACTTTAATATTATGTTTCTCACAAAATTATTGTTGTCCCACATTCATATTTACATAGCTCATGGGAAAAAACCTCAGCTTTCCAATGAAAATAATAAAAAAAAAAATACCCGAAGGGGTGAACATCGAAAAATAAGGGTTGATTTTGAAAAAAAGGGGTCAAAATTTTTTTTTTTAATTTCGTATACATTTTTGAAAAGTACGTGAAAAATGAATTAAAATTCATTATAGGTGAATTAAAATCCATTAACTTTTGTCATAGTTATACGGATTTGAAAATTACAATGTTACCCTTAACGTCAAAACTTCAACCCCCTCTACTTTCTACAAATATTTTTTTAATGAGTATATATTTTAGGGATTTATTACTATCATATAGGACAACAATTTACCAAAGTATGAAGCCAATCCCAGAACATTCACTTTTTGGGCTGGGGAGATTGAAAAAGAATCTCTCATATGTATAACATGTTAGGATATGATAATATGTTTTTCTTAACATCAAAGCAATTTTAAACATCAAGTTTAAAATTCTTTTGAAATAATGTTTAAATGTAAACAAATAATCAATTAACATTTGATAAAGTTATGTAATTAAAATAATATAAAGCACCGGATATTTAAAGATAAGTGAGAATACAAGTTACATATTTTATATAATATATGCAAAGACATATATCATATAAATAAAAAAAATTATTGAATAAATAAATAACTAAAAATTAATTATTATTATTTTAGTTCCCCCACAGATTTTCTTTTTAATAATAAATTAAAATAATTAAAATACTATTGTGGGAAGAGAAAGGGGAGGGTATATAATCCCAGATAGCCAAGCGTACTAATGGCTATTTTTCAGTACATCGTACTCGTATTTTACTAGTATAAAATAATTATGTCCGTACATACCAGTACGATACTGGTATAATAGTATACAGTATATCGTGCCGTAAAAATCTTGGAAGATCAGTATTATATACGCGTATAAAACTAGTACAATGCCATTACGCCATACTCCTCAAAATTGATGTATATGCATGTTAGTATTGTACTAGTACAATACCGGTATGTCATACCGGTACATGCGACGTCTCGCCGCCAACGCCGTCGCCATTTTTTATTCTCGTGTAACGCAACGTGCAGTCAACGTGTGGCGATTAATAGTGATATAGTGACCGGAATTTTTGTATTAAAAATACAAATAAATTATTTACATTTGATGTTGGCAGAAATTTAAAAGTTCGTACTTTAAGGTAAGGATATTTTCAATTTGCTTTAGGATAAGCTGACTGTGTTAAGCAAAGTAAAAAATTATTTTGCATTTGTGTCATAAATGTTATACATTTTCATATATATCCTCTGATGATTGAAAAATAATTTAAAGCTATTCTATTCTATTTTCCTATTTGCATTTGTCTCTACTTCTGGGGTTATATTTTTCTTATATATGTAATATATATATTATATATCACTTTGCTGATTTGTCCCTGGAGAATTTCGAAATCGGAATGTACGCTGAATTCGTTGTACATTCGTTACACATTGGTTAAACATTTAGTTGGAGTGAAAATTGTGTAGAAACTGAGTGGAAACTGTGGAAAAGTGTAATTGAATTGAATAATAAAAGTATTCTGTGATAGATTTGTGCTGTATTTGTGATAAATTAACGTGTTATTATTAAATAAATAAAGTTGAAAGTGTAAAATGTTCGCGTAAGTGAGTTTGACAGGCTAGGGAATTTTCTAGTGACATCCAACTTGATAGTCGATAAAGAAGTTGAGCCGCCGACTTTGCACGATAGGTGTCAGCATTCATACTTTCGCCTTTTTAAAAATTCTCTTTTTCAATATTGTAAATAGAAAAATTAATTAATTAATAAGTTATATACTTTCTATGTTGTCATTTTTTTTTAACAATTGAATTTTTTAAGATTGTTTAATGAGATAAATTAAACTTGTATAATCGATGCAAATTGTTGTACAGACTAGTACGCTTAGTACGCCGTATTCATATTGTACTTGCATCGTACTAGTACGCTGGTTATCTGGGATATTTTATATTGTACATCATACTAGTATTGTACCAATATAATAACAGTACGTTATACTAAGTCATAAAAGTTTTCAGTACATCGTACTGGTATAGTACTCGTATTCTATTGATATTGCATACCCGTACGCCGTATTAGTACAGTACCTGGTACCGGGCGAAGGTACATGGCTGGTATAGTACCAGTACGCCTAGCACGCCGAACTAGTATTATACTACTACCGTACTAGTATGTGTGTTATCTGGGTAAAATATAAAGTAAAATTTATACACTGAGAGAAGAAAAGCGCGGAATCTGAAATGGAGAAGTTCAGCATCTGTACACCAAGTTGGGCGCAGCAGCAGCGACACTGTGTGATAGATGCCGTACTCAAATGTGAAATGGATGTTGTGCTTGGCTTGAGTATAGATACTGTACACAGATATGAACTGTTCAGAAGTACAGTATCTGTCGGTCGCTATGAGACAGATTCCGTATAACTTAGTTCACACCGCTGCCGCGCTGCTAGAGCTTACTATCTGAACTATGAACGACACCAACTGAACAAAACTAAAGAACGGATACTGACACCCATTTTACACGGCCGGCGTTCGTCACAGTACACGGAGAGAAAAATTAGGATGCAACAACCGGAGACTCCGGTTGAATCTACTTGACCGACGCAGGCGTGAACGCAAGTACCGACACACAAGTCAGTACAATTTGGTAGCCAGGCAGTTTTGGCCTGGCTGTCTCAAGTAGTATCAATTGAGCAGGGAAAAGCTTTTTCCGTATCGCCTGAGAACACTAGTAGCTGCAATAAAAGACCCAAGTTAAAACAGCCTGGCTCCCTGGTTATAACTACTTGACTTTATAAGATCAACATGACGACTTAAAAGAAAGCAGTTGGAACTTTTTTTTTCTCTCCGTGTACGGATTCTGTGCTTTTCTTCTCTCAGTGTAGTGATATGGATAACTTACTTCCCCGTGGAGGAAGCTATGAATTTCTCCAATTCGATTGATTTATTTAAAAAATTTCAAGTTGAAAACTGTTTTAAATTAATTAAATTTTTTGAAAAATTAGGAAAATTTTAATTCATTTTGGGTGTAACATATACTTTATATGTATATACATATCGATTCGTTTCAATGCAAGGAATACAATTATTATATTTATTAACTTGAATTTTAAATAAACACAAATTTTTTTGATCTAAAATATGAATTTTCAATTTTTATTATTTCTCAAATTTTAAATCAAATCTATACTTTATATATACCAACTAATTCGTTTTAATGTAGGGAATACAATTATTTCATATATAAACATGAATTTAAATAAACACAACATTTTTTAGTATAATCTGAATTTTTGATTTTTTAACTTTCATTAATTCTTTAAATTTCACTCAAGCATATACTTTATAAGTATCAGTCGATTCATCTTGACGTAAGGAAGACGATTATATTATATATTACTTTAAATTATTCGATTTAAAAATTTTTTCAATTAAAAAAAAAATTTTGGAAAAAAGACGATAAAATTTTTATTGGGGTATTTTTAAAAATCCTCTCGTTAAATAAGCCTACAAAATTTTATTCAAATCCATTAAAACCTGTTAAAGATATCGTGTTCACAAAAACGATCCACACACACATACGATATACGAGATATTACTCGTAAATAACTTGAAATATCTTGTTCGGATTTGTCGGATTAATTAGATAAGGGCGAGCTGATTAAGAATCATCTCCATTTTTACAACTAATTTTGTAGAAAAGTATTGAAAATCGTGGTTATAAAAGTTGGATTTTTGACAGAAGTGGGGACAGACATTGAATCTATGTGGGTAAGAATTCCTGAAGTGGCCCCCTAATATTTTTTGTGTAATAGAAAAAAGTGATACTCACATATTTTGGTAGTCCATGATGTCACTAAAAAACCCCTGAAACGATTTTTCAAAATTCGCATTTTTTTAAAAGTTATAAACAATTAAACTTTTTTGCAACGTTTTGGAAAAAATTCTGTATCTTGAAATTGGCCGAACCGATTTTAATAAAAATTGGTTTGGAGAAAGATTAAGATACGTACTTTTGATAAATAAATAAATTATGAATAAAAAGTATAATTTGTTTAAACAAATTATATTGTTAATTTTTAACTTTATAAATTAACAATGTTCTCAGTCGATTTTTCCAATTTTTTTTATAGAATCATAAAAAGGGGCTTTTCACGATTCCATGACAAAAATAAAAAAGTGGGATTCTCAAAAACTTTAGAAGATATAGAATTTTTAGTCTTAACGCGCGCGAGTTTTCTGAGCAGCTCACGCATACGGCGCGGCATCTCCCGCGCGCCCCGCGCCAACCAAGACTCCATGAGAGTTCCCGATTATAATATTTTATTAACTCAATTAAACTAAACAGTTGTTTATATGTATTTTATTATTCATATCATTTTTGTTTATATTTAATAATTTTTATTATTTATAAAATTTCTGTTTATAATAAGTTTCTGATTATTTAATTTTAATGATAAATTTTCAACGTTTTTTAATTGTTTTTGTTAAATGTGTTGATGGCTGCTTTGCACGAAAAACAAATGAACTGTCCTATTAAATTTTTAAATCTATAATTCCACGAATTAGGCACTTTCACAAGATTTTTATAAACTGCTTTATGTTCGTTTTTTTCAACGGGTTGCAGCAAGTATTTGTTTTTGGCATATTTTAAGATTTGTTTTTATAGCACATACGCGAAAAAGTAAAATTTTTAATATACAACGTGAAAAATACTAATCGAAACAACAAACACGGACTTACATTTATGTATACGTAAAGAAAATACTATGATCTAAAAACGAAATTATCATGTTAGGTGAATGACCAGACGATTGTCGCGATTCTTTTGTTTTCACGTGAAAACGCGCAAATTTTCATTCAGTGCGCATAAACGTGAAATTTGTTAAAATTTTGACAGCAAACGTTAAACAATGCGGTCTAGAAAAATAAAACACGGATTCGCAATAATATATTTTATTATTCATTGATACATAAACAAAACAATTAAAAAACGTTGAAAATTTATCATTAAAATTAAATAATCAGAAGCTTATTATAAACAGAAATTTTATAAATAATAAAAATTATTAAATATAAACAAAAATGATATGAATAATAAAATACATATAAACAACTGTTTAGTTTAATTGAGTTAATAAAATATTATAATCGGGAACTCTCATGGAGTCTTGGTTGGCGCGGGGCGCGCGGGAGATGCCGCGCCGTATGCGTGAGCTGCTCAGAAAACTCGGGCGCGTTAAGACTAAAAATTCTGTATCTTCTAAAGTTTTTGAGAATCCCACTTTTTTATTTTTGTCATGGAATCGTGAAAAGCCCCTTTTTATGATTCTATAAAAAAAATTGGAAAAATCGACTGAGAACATTGTTAATTTATAAAGTTAAAAATTAACAATATAATTTGTTTAAACAAATTATACTTTTTATTCATAATTTATTTATTTATCAAAAGTACGTATCTTAATCTTTCTCCAAACCAATTTTTATTAAAATCGGTTCGGCCAATTTCAAGATACAGAATTTTTTCCAAAACGTTGCAAAAAAGTTTAATTGTTTATAACTTTTAAAAAAATGCGAATTTTGAAAAATCGTTTCAGGGGTTTTTTAGTGACATCATGGACTACCAAAATATGTGGGTATCACTTTTTTCTATTACACAAAAAATATTAGGGGGCCACTTCAGGAATTCTTACCCATGTGTGAGTGATCCAGAAGGTGGCGCCAATTCTAGCTAGTGGCCGCTGCTGAAATAACTTACCCCAAATTACTCCACTTTAAGTCTTTAATAAAATAATTTCCTCACAATATTATTGCAAAAATGGAGAAGAGCCCCACTCAGTGACCCTTTCTTTATTATTCCTCCAAATGCCAACTCGAAATACTTTATCCTTTAAAGATGAGAAGAAATCTACGAAACCCCTTTTTGCCAATGTTTAAACATTTTTTTCAATAATTATTTATCAAAAAATGTTGTATGATACACGTGCGTAAATCTGATTATACTCGTGTGATTTGCATCACTCGGCTTCGCCTCGTGCTGCAAACGTCACACTCGTATAATCACTCACTTTACGCACTTGTATCATAAATAACTATTTTAACCATTTTTTGGATAAATTATAAACATTTCGTCTTGTGCAGCTTCATTCAAAGATAAATAAAAAATTACTTTTACTTAATTTTTGCTCAAATATTTGATTTTCTTCTTTGGTGACAAATACATTGATAAATATTTTAATTTTTTATTTCGGAAAATAATGTTTGAAACAATGATATTTTTCTAGACTGTTTTATTAGTTGCACTTTTTAAAATTTTCAAAAACTCCCGCCAAACTATAGTGCATGCAATACAATCTATAAAACACGCTTGAATATAATAAGAAAGTCAATAGTCCTCAATTGTAATAACACGATTAAGACACACGATTGGGGACAATAGAAATTTCTTTCCTATTGTTTTCAATCGTTTTCAATTAATTGTTTCTAGAAGAGAAATTTAAGTACTGTTAACAGTATTTTTTTAAAAAATATTTATTACTGTTAACAGTAATTAAGTTTATATAAAAAAAATATTTCTTGCATTATTTAAGAGACCGAATTTTTTTCAAAGTACAAAATATTGTAAAATGGGACGATAGCATTTTATTTATTATTAAGTGGGATTAAAACATAATTTCGACAATTTTTGATATCACCGTATATTCATAAATACATCATGTCCATCTCTGTGTTTATAAATAATAAATACCAATATTATTTTAAATCAATAATTTTATTTTATTCCTCCGTTTTATTATTCATTATAAAATAATCAAATAATAGTAATAATATAACCAATACATTTTTGGCTTGGTCCTAGTTGTGCCTTCGTTTGAACCAGTTCCTTGAGAGAGTAGGGACGATTCTGTCTGATTTATATCAGTGGAAGCAGACCCTGCTGATGATGTTTCACTTATGTTCAATTTAGACGTAGTTTCACTTGTAGGATTGGTCGTAGTGGAGCCTTCGTTAGTACCAGTTTTTTGTAGGACTGGGGATGATTCTGTAAAATTTATATCAGTGGAAGCAGACCCTGCTGATGATGTTTCACTTATGTTCAATTTAGACGTAGTTTCACTTGTAGGATTGGTCGTAGTGGAGCCTTCGTTAGTTCCAGTTTTTTGTAGGACTGGGGATGATTCTGTAAAATTTATATCAGTGGAAGCAGACCCTGCTGATGATGTTTCACTTATGTTCAATTTAGACGTAGTTTCACTTGTAGGATTGGTCGTAGTGGAGCCTTCGTTAGTACCAGTTTTTTGTAGGACTGGGGATGATTCTGTAAAATTTATATCAGTGGAAGCAGACCCTGCTGATGATGTTTCACTTATGTTCAATTTAGACGTAGTTTCACTTGTAGGATTGGTCGTAGTGGAGCCTTCGTTAGTACCAGTTTTTTGTAGGACTGGGGATGATTCTGGAAAATTTATATCAGTGGAAGCAGACCCTGCTGATGATGTTTCACTTATGTTCAATTTAGACGTAGTTTCACTTGTAGGATTGGTCGTAGTGGAGCCTTCGTTAGTTCCAGTTTTTTGTAGGACTGGGGATGATTCTGTAAAATTTATATCAGTGGAAGCAGACCCTGCTGATGATGTTTCACTTATGTTCAATTTAGACGTAGTTTCACTTGTAGGATTGGTCGTAGTGGAGCCTTCGTTAGTACCAGTTTTTTGTAGGACTGGGGATGATTCTGTAAAATTTATATCAGTGGAAGCAGACCCTGCTGATGATGTTTCACTTATGTTCAATTTAGACGTAGTTTCACTTGTAGGATTGGTCGTAGTGGAGCCTTCGTTAGTACCAGTTTTTTGTAGGACTGGGGATGATTCTGGAAAATTTATATCAGTGGAAGCAGACCCTGCTGATGATGTTTCACTTATGTTCAATTTAGACGTAGTTTCACTTGTAGGATTGGTCGTAGTGGAGCCTTCGTTTGAACCAGTTTCTTGTGAGAGTAGTGTTGATCCTGTCTGATTTATGTCAGTGGAAGCAGACCCTGCTGGTGATGTTGCACGTCTCTCAATATCAGATGTAGTGTTACTTGTATACTTAGGCCAAATTAAATCTTCGTTTGAACCAGTTTGTTGTGAGGGTAGAGTTGATCCTGTCAGATTTATATCAGTGGATGCAGACCCTGCTGATGATGTCTCATGCGTTATATTTTTAAAAATTTGTGCAATCTTGTTTGACTCATCTTTAATCTGTAAAAAGTTTAATGTTTTATATAAAATATTACAATGAAAGTCAAGTTAGCTTTTGGTTTTTGTTCATTAACCCTTTCGTAACTTAGGTACTCTTGTGTACCACTTATAAAATTTGATATAACTCTTATAAAAGTATATATTATAGCAATAAATGGAATGGATTGTATTATTAATAAAAGCATCACGGGGTGTCTAAACAAACTTTAAATGACCACTTTTTTTACTTCGGATTCTTTCTTGCATTCGATTCAAGAACATAAAAATAGTGTGTAAAATATTTTTTAGTGAAATTCGTCGAGCTGTTTTTAAAAAAGTTATTTTTTGTATTAAAAAATAAATTTTTCAAAAATTAAAAATATATTTTGCCGATTAATTGATTAAGGAAATAGGTAGATTAATAAAATTACAGATTTTATTCTTTATAAATAGAATGAAAACTAATGTTTACATATCATAAGATATTAAAAAATTAACATTTTGTTAACAAACAATGTTAAATTAAACATTAAATTTTATATTTTTCTTTTGTTTATTATGTATGTAAATTACCGCAACATCGGTAGATTTTGAATTAATCAAAATTGATTTTTAACATAAAAAATATCATTTTTTAAAAACGGCTCGATGAATTTCGCTAAAAATTCTTTTACACACTATATTTAAGCTCCTGAATCGAATGCAAGAAAAAAATCCTAAGTAATAAAAGTGGCCATTTAAAGTTCGTTCAGGCACCCCGTGGCTTCTAACATATGATACACTTTTTTAGAAGTTATACGCATTTGAAAACAACAGTAAATATATTTGCAACGATTCTGAATACTTCTTAAGTTGCTAATTACATTCGAAACTATATAACTTCTACAAAAACTTATGGATTTTAATCTGTCAGTAAAGTTTTTTTTGGGGGTTTTCCCTACTTTTCAAGACCAGAAAAAAGTCTTTTAAAAAAAATGTTTAACCCTATTTTTCAAAATTAACCCTTATCTTTTTTCCTTAAACCCTTATTCCCTCTTAAAAATTCTTCTTATTATTTTTATTTGAAAGCTGAGATTTTTTTAACAAAACTGTATAATTATAAAAATGGGACAACCATGATTTTTCAAGAAAATTTGAAAAAAGGTCAGAAAATAGGTTTCTTTACATTTTCTCTTAAGCCCCATGTTGTCCTATTTTTATATTTATACAATTTTATTGAAAAAAAATTTCAACTTTCAAAAAAATTACAGAAAATTTTTTTATGGGGGATATAAAAAATGGTTAATAAAATAATATGGTTATAATTATTTTTAACAATAGTTAAAATATTGATAAAAAAGAAAAATGTTATATTCCAACATAATTTTATTCTTGACTTTTGCTTCCTGATTATTAGCAACAATTGGAATTCTTATGTTTTGGTACTCTCTGATAACAAATTTGAAATAAAATTTTAAGAATTCAAAATTTTAGATTCGTTTAAAATTAGTTACTCAAATGTTTTTGGGGTCGTTAGTTACGAATCCGAAGTCAGTTCTTTAAAATGTTATCAGTTAATGGAGCAATGATAAAATTCATAACTTGATCGTCTCTCAAATAGTACATGTCAATGTACCCAATAAAAAGAGAATAATTATAAGGTCTGTTGTTTGTCAGATTCACTATTTTTGTACATTTAATCACTTTTTGAAAATTTATTTTCCAAATTTAATTAGTTATTTTGAATCTTCAAAAACTGTTATTAAATTCATAATCGGCGATCCCAAAAACTCCAGAGTTATATAATGTTTTAACAAAAAACGTCTCTCACGATATCCGTGTAAAACAGCAAAAAAAACATAATAGTTGGTAGAAAATTTCAGTTAAGTTTGGAAATTATATTGCAATTCCTCCTTGAACAATAGACTCCCAGGTCCTTTGTTGAAGAATTACAATTTTAACCCGAGTTTTATTGCTTAAAAAATTTGTAATTTCAACAACTCAACTTTAAAAAATATATATTGAGATTCGTTAATATTTCTAGATTATGAATATCTAAAATTTATCATAAAATAATTACATTTAAAAAAGTTATAATTTATCTCGTATACCTTAAGTTTGATAAAAAAATGGACATCATTTTTGAATTTAGCTGACAAAGGAAATATCATATGCATAATAATGTATGAAAATAATATAAATCCATGAAAAACAAATATAATATTGAAATAAATATAAAGTTTTTGTTTAAACATATTGAAAAAGCTGGTCGCTTTTCACTTTTATGTGGGTATTAACGGTAATTCGACCCTTTTCGCAGGTAAATTTCCCAGTTCCATTTCAGTACCAAAATGCACCAAATTAGTACTGAGTTGGTACTGAGATCTCAGTTCCAATTTCCAAGTACCAATCCAGTACCACCCTTCCGGCAGGGCCATCTTTGTTTTAATTTTCGTTCAAAAATGACACTTTTTGAACTTAATGTTTTAATAATTTAACGCAAAAATATGTTTTTTCAGAAGAATCAGCGGTATGCATTGTACCCAAGATCTACTATATGCAATTGTTTTGTTTGCTAAAATTAATAACGATTAGCTCAAACATGAATAGAGAATAACGTACATTTCGAACAAAAAGGGTTAAATTTATATTATATATTTGTCATTATTTAAGCTAGTTTTACTAGTACACTGGAATCTCCCAAGAGAGGTATTCTCAAGAGAGGACTAAATATAAACGCGACGTGGTTCGGAGTGAGGGGTGAAGAGAAGGGAGGGGCTAGAAAATGCAACGTGAACGCAGGAGCGTCTATTCTGAGTGTAGCTTTGTCGCGTAGCGTTTTGATTCCGAATTTTTTTGTAAAATGACATTAAATGACATGTTTTTATAATTTGTTTAACTTAAAGAACGGCCCGTTTTCAAATCTTAATTAACATTTTTTAAATTTATAAACATTTATATTAGTAAAATGTATTTTGTTAAAAACCACATCTCCGATATTGGATATACGGCCCTGAATGTTTACAGTTTTCGAAATCAAGGGCGTATTCCGTAGAGAGGTCCAAGACTCTCGCTGTCCTCTCTTCGGAGATTCCAGTGTATTATTACCAAAATTATAAATGTTTGAAATAGTTATGCCTGATGTCTGTAACTATCTTTTACTACTATATCTCTAGCTAAATCTTAATTTTTTTTTGTCGTCTAATTTTCAGTGGATCTTTTAGATATCAGTGAATAGCCCACCCATTAAAAACAAATATGTGTCGAAATTCTTGAATTGTACCAATAGTAAAAATGTAAACTTTTGATTTTTTTGGAGAATCATAACAATTGTATAAAACGGTGAAAAAAAATTTGACCTATAAGTTTTCGAAAATTTTTTTCCTTTTCTTTCGAATAGTAGAAATTTTTTTTTAAAAAATTCAAAATTTACCCATTTTTTGAAAATCAAGAATATTTTTTACTTTTCTTTAAAAAAGGAGCCTTTTTTTCTTTTTTTACCCCTTAAAATGAAGCTTTAAAAGTAAGTATACAGCTTCATTTTAAGTGGTAAAATAAAGAGAAAAAGGGTCTTTTTTTAACAAAAAGTTAAAAACAGTTTTAATTTTCAAAAAAGTGGTAAATTTTGAATATTTAAAAAAAAAATTTGCTCGAAAGAGTAGAAAAAGCCTTTTCGATAACATATAGGTCAAATTTTTTTCATCAATTTATACCGATTTTTCAAAAAATTCACTATTTTACAAAAATTTTAATTTTCTTCCCCCTCTACATTTTTTGATAAAAATTAATAATAATTTGTGAGTGAAATATTTATCCATAGTACTAAATGTCATGCAAATTATAGCCTGCTCTAAGAATTTTTTTTTTGAATTGTTACAATTCAAAAATTTAGCCTCATATTTAAAAAATAAAAATGTTTATACCTGCATAATTTTAGCTCCTAATTGTTTATTAGTCTTGTTCAAGAAAGTAGAAGACCACGTTTGTTTTTGAAATAAATTCCTCATGTTTAAAATTACATCCTTCATTGTTTTTTTAATCAAATTTAAAGTTATTCCATTAACATTTGGCTGCTGTAGTTTTAAATTCTGAATAGACTTAACAACCATGTAACGAATTAAAAGAACAAATTTAAACAAACCTTTTGCAGAGTTAAAATTTTCATTGTTATACATACATTTATTCTCTTCTAATTCACATTTAAATGAGAGGTTACCATATAATTTATTAATATCATTTAAAAAATTTTGATAACTGACATTCTGTTTTCCTAAACTGATTTCTCTAACGTAACATAGAAGAGAGTCATAGAGAACTTGAATTAAAGATTTTTGTATTTCATTAGTTTCTTCATTTATACTTATTTCAAAACAACATGCTTTTTCAGATGTTTTGGAAAATATTTTAACAATAGAATTTAGTATTATTTGAATATTATCACCAACTGTCAATATGCGTTCAACATAAATGTCTTGTTGACTCTAAAAAAAATTATAATATTCAGCATCAAAACAATAATATTATTATTAACGTTAGAAAATAGTTATTTATGATACAAGTGCGTAAAGTGAGTGATTATACGAGTGTTACGTTTGCAGCACGAGGCGAAGCCGAGTGATGCAAATCACACGAGTATAATCAGATTTACGCACGTGTATCATACAACATTTTTTGCAACACTCACCTCTGAAGTTAAGTACTTATTATGAAGAATTCCAACTATCTGTAAGAATAATTTCGATTGTATAGAATTAAAAAAATCAATCGAAGATCAGGAAAAAAATCATTAAGCAGGAGTGTATAAATTTAAAAGTAAAGTTTGTTTTTTAATTTTGTAGTTTTGTATGGTCTAAAACAATCCTTATATGAGAGATTCTTTTTCAATCGCCCCAGCCCAAAAAGTCAATGTTCTGGGATTGGCTTCATACTTTGGTAAATTGTTGTCCTATATGATAGTAATAAATCCCTAAAATATAAACTCATTAAAAAAATATTCGTAGAAAGTAGAGGGGGTTGAAGTTTTGACGTTAAGGGTAACATTGTCATTTTCAAATCCGTATAACTATGACAAAAGTTAATGGATTTTAATTTATCTATAATGAATTTTAATGCATTTTTCACGTACTTTTCAAAAATGTATACAAAATTTAGAAAAAAAATTTTTGACCCCTTTTTTTCAAATTCAACCCTTATTTTCGTTTTTCACCCCTTCGGGTATTTTTTTTTTATTTTCATTGGAAAGCTGAGGTTTTTTCCCATAAGCTATGTAAATATGAAAATGGGACAACAATAATTTTGTGAGAAACAGAATATTAAAGTAGGCGGTGCCGATAAGGGTGCAGTTAAGGGTAACACGGTTATTTTCAAATCGGTATAACTATAACAAAAGTAAATGGATTTTAATTTAACTATAATGAATTTGAATGCATTTTTCACGTACTTTTCAAAAATGTATATAAAATTTAAAAAAAAATTTTTTCACCCCTTTTTTTCAAAATCAACCCTTATTTTTCGATTTTCACCCCTTCGGGAATTTTTTTTTTTATTTTTTTTATTTTCATTGGAAAGCTGAGGTTTTTTCCCATGAGCTATGTAAATATGAAAGTGAGACAACAATAATTTTGTGAGAAACATAATATTAAATTAGGCGGTGCCTACCTAAATCCTCAAAGATGATCTCCAGGTATACCCCTTATCGGCACCGCCTACTTTAATATTCTGTTTCTCACAAAATTATTGTTGTCCCATTTTCATATTTACATAGCTCATGGGAAAAAACCTCAGCTTTCCAATGAAAATAAAAAAAAAAAAAAAAAATACCCGAAGGGGTGAAAAACGAAAAATAAGGGTTGAATTTGAAAAAAAGGGGTCAAAAATTTTTTTTTAAATTTTATATACATTTTTGAAAAGTACGTGAAAAATGCAATAAAATTCATTATAGATAAATTAAAATCCATTAACTTTTGTCATAGTTATACGGATTTGAAAATGACAATGTTACCCTTAACGTCAAAACTTCAACCCCCTCTACTTTCTACAAATATTTTTTTAATGAGTTTATATTTTAAGGATTTATTACTATCATATAGGACAACAATTTACCAAAGTATGAAGTCAATCCCAGAACATTGACTTTTTGGGCTGGGGCGATTGAAAAAGAATCTCTCATATTATGTGAGAGAAATTTCGGTGCGTAAAGTAAATTTCAGTGTGTAAAGTAATAGGTATTTCAGTGCGTAAAGTAAATTTCAGTGCGTAAAGTGAATCACTTTACACACCGCGTTTGAAAAAGAGCTTCTTTACACACAATTTTCGGTGTGTAAAATTTAACTTTATAGGTTATTGTTGCAAAAACAAAATTTCATTTATGTGAATTTCCAAAAAATTATGTACTATAGTACTAAAAAAGGCTAAGGGGAGATTTAAATTTTTTTCAAAATTAACATCTGTTAAAATTATAAAATATAAAAAATTACCAACGTAAAAACATTTAATATTATAAGTGCATTAAATTTATAAATAAATGTAGTTTTATTGTAATAATTATTGTGTTAATTAAATGAAACTCTGTTCAAAAATATATACAAAATTCTTTAAGGAAGTGAAATTTCCTTCTTGAACAATTCAAATATATTTAAAAATGCACATAAGTCAACTTCTTTTGTATCACTTTATAAATTTATAAAAATAATTTAAACTTTTTTTAAAGTCAAAAAAATACGTTACTTTCTAACAAAAAATGTGTCTAGTACATTATTATTTATTTGTAATTTACCTCATTTTTTTGATTTTGAATTAGTTTTAGAACTAAATTTTTCGCTTCATCCACATTCTTCTGCTTAACAGCTATCTGATAGTTTTCATTTTTATTCTTGACAGTTGTAGATGTGTCACGATTTGCATTAGAACTTGGAATACTTTTACAATATACCAAACAAATCAATGAATTGACACTCAAGTAGAGAAGAAAATAAAAATTGCTTCTCATTTTTACTTTATTCTTGATGTAGGTTTCACTGGGTGTAGATAGAATTTCAAAAAAATTCTTCCTTTTATACAGAACTTTTAGAGCCACATATGAAAAACTTTGCATATGTGCCCTAAAAATATTGGTCAGGGCGCACTTAAAATACTTTTTAATGCCAATTCACAAATTAGAAGGCAACATATTCATTTATGTTAAGAATATATAATGCAAACTATAGCCAATGAAAATTATTCACAGTAATGAAAAAGTTATGTTTAGTTTACAAAGAAACAATTTTTTTATTTCTATTTCGTGAATTCTTTTTGATAATTAAAATCGTGCATACACAATAATAGTTGAAAAATGTTTTAACTACTTAAAAATATTCCTACTCGAAATTAAATTCTAAAATTGAATTAAAATATTGCACAATTAAAACTTTTATTTTATAGTTTTAAACAAATGGATTATTCTCAATTTGAGAAGAAAATATCCCAATTACTAAATTTATTTTTTAAAAACTTCACAACTACCCAGATAGCATAAAAGCTAGTAATAAACTTAGAGCGAAATTATTATGTCAGAGGAAAAATTTTTCATGTTATTGGGAATCGAAGCAAAGTTCGTTTCACGCAAATTGAGAACAATAACCGACCTACTACAATAAGCAACAATTAATGAAAAAAAATTTCTACCTTTTGAATCAATAGTAACATGAAATTTTATATAACCAAAAATAATATTTTAATTCAAATAAAATTTATAGATAATGAGGACAAAAAGAATGCCAACGATTTGACTACACTTTACTAAATTAATTTCTCTCTACATTCTATATTCAAATTTATCTTATTCAAGAAGGCACCAAATATTTCTTGGATCAAAATTAAAATATCAACAAAATTTTAAATAAATGTTTTATTTTAATGAAACTAGGCCACCAGGGTAATTAATCGTCAATAAAATTCATTATTTATAACTCGACATATTCCATCCCCCCACAGCACCGAAACTTTCCTAAAGATTTATTTGAAATATTTCAAATAAATCTTTAGGAAAATTTTTAGAAAAGTTTCCGTGCTGTGGGGGTCAAATCTAAAAGAAAAAAATGAAATAATTCTGAGAGAAATTAAGTATGCCTGCTTTAATCAATAATAATCAAAAATACAATATTAAATTAAGATAGTCTACTCTTAATTTAAATTAGTGAAATTTCATTGGTGAAATTGGCAGAAGTAGGTTCCTAACTCATTTAGTGAAATTTTCATTAGTTATATATATCACTGACTCTCAGTGAAAATTTCAAGAAATGGGAGACAAAATAGTTAATAAAAACAAATAAAATTAAATAGTTAATATTTATCATTTTCTTCGAATCTCGAACACACAATCACTCACAAAAGAAATAGTACATAAAATAAAGTCAAATGTCAATTATAGACATCTGTTTTCCAAGCTGTCCACTGCAAGAGAGATAAATTCTTTTTCGATGGTCGCGTTTTTTCCAAATTTATCCTCTTTTCCCTTAGAGTCGATCCCTATTGAAAATCCCCACATGGGAAACCACATGGGATCCTATGTCAAAAACTATGTAAAACCCCATTCCCCATATGGGAAACCATATGGTTTCCCATATAAAAACTCATGGGAAATTGGGACAGGAATTAGCATAGGAAAATATCAAAACGAGGTTCCTCCATGTCATTTCCTATGTCAAATCCCATGTCAAATATCATGTTAAATACCATGTTAAATACTAATTGAGATCCTTTATCACTTTTTTGAAAAATTTTCCCATGTCAAACCCCATGTCATTTCCCAAGTAAAAACCTTTATCATTTTTTTGAAAAATTTTCCAATGTCATTTCCCATGTGAAATCTTTTATCATTTTTTTGAAAAATTTTCCCATGTCAAACCCCACGTCATTTCCCAAGTAAAAACCTTTACCATTTTTTTGAAAAATTTTCCCATGTCATTTCCCATATCATTTCCCATGTGAAATCCTTTATCATTTTTTTGAAAAATTTTCCCATGTCAAATCCTCTTTCGCCTTATCGAAAATACCCACATGGGAAAGCATATGGGAATCCACATGGGACACCATATGGGAATCCATATGGGAAATGGAATACGATTTCATGTGCATTCTTCCAAATGATAAAACAAATAGATTTAAGCATAGGAAATCATATAAGATTTCATATAGATTCTGAAATTTCAACCTAAGATTTCACATGGATTTACATATAGGAAACGATATAGGATTTTATTCGGGAATTTTTTAGTTGGCTGCTTTATGCAGGCGGCAGTTTACAAAAAAAATTAATTATTTGATTAAATATCAAATAATAATACTTCAACTCATCTTAAAATAAAAAAAAGTTTACTTTACTTCTGCCTTAGACTCTCAGCTTTTATAGTATTCCAGACTGATCTCAACTGTGAGAGAAAATATTTTCACCATCTGGTGGTGAAACAATGAAACTATAATGACGATCAACATCTATATTGAAATTTCCTATGTCATTTCCCATGTCATTTCCCATGTGAAATCCTCTTTCATTTATTCGAAAAATTTTCCCATGTCATTTCCCATGTGAATTCCTTTATCATTTTTTTCAAAAAATTTTCCCATGTCATTTCCCATGTAAAATCTTTTATTATTTTTTGGAAAAATTTTCCCATACCAATTCCCACGTCAAACCTCATGTCATTTGCCATATGAAATCCTTTATCGTATTCCATTTCCTCTGTGGATTCCCATATGCTTTCCCATGTGGGTATTTTCGATAGGGCGAAAGAGGATTTGTCATTGGAAAATTTGTCAAATAAATGATAAAGGATTTCACATGGGAAATGACATGGGAAAATTTTTTGAAAAAAATGATAAAGGAATTCACATGGGAAATGACATGGGAAAATTTTTCGAATAAATGAAAGAGGATTTCACATGGGAAATGACATGGGAAATGACATAGGAAATTTCAATATAGATGTTGATCGTCATTATAGTTTCATTGTTTCACCACCAGATGGCAGAAGTAAAGTAAACTTTTTTTTATTTTATGATGAGTTGAAGTATTATTATTTGATATTTAATCAAATAATTAATTTTTTTTGTAAACTGCCGCCTGCATAAAGCAGCCAACTAAAAAATTCCCGAATAAAATCCTATATCGTTTCCTATATGTAAATCCATGTGAAATCTTAGGTTGAAATTTCAGAATCTATATGAAATCTTATATGATTTCCTATGCTTAAATCTATTTGTTTTATCATTTGGAAGAATGCACATGAAATCGTATTCCATTTCCCATGTGGATTCCAATATGGTGTCCCATGTGGATTCCCATATGCTTTGCTATGTGGGTATTTTCGATAAGGCGAAAGAGGATTTGACATGGGAAAATTTTTCAAAAAAATGATAAAAGATTTCACATGGGAAATGACATTGGAAAATTTTTCAAAAAAATGATAAAGGTTTTTACTTGGGAAATGACATGGGGTTTGACATGGGGAAATTTTTCAAAAAAGTGATAAAGGATCTCAATTAGTATTTAACATGGTATTTAACATGATATTTGACATGGGATTTGACATAGGAAATGACATGGAGGAACCTCGTTTTGATATTTTCCTATGCCAATTCCTGTCCCAATTTCCCATGAGTTTTTATATGGGAAACCATATGGTTTCCCATATGGGGAATGGGGTTTTACATAGTTTTTGACATAGGATCCCATGTGGTTTCCCATGTGGTGATTTTCAATAGGGATACGTGGTTAAATTTTTCGAGTTAAAAATCAACTCAAAAAGGGAGTTAATAATTAAATTAACTCCCTAGGCATAAAATGAACTCGTAAAGCCTTATCTCCCTTTGCTTCAACTCCAAAATTGTGGGACTTTTATAGCATCCCCTAAGAAGTTGTAAATAAAATCTTCTTTTTTACAGTGTAAATATAACCATTCAGTTATGAAATTCAAAAGTACATTTTTTTATCCACAATTATGAATTCAAAAATGATTGTTTTAAAAAATAAATTTTGTACAAGTCAAGCAGAATTCAGCAAAAAATTTGTTTCTGAAAAATAAATTATTTTAAATATTTCTATGTAAAAAAAATGTTTTTTTAAATTTAAAAATTATATTATTATAATATACTCAAACAGAAAAATAATATTCTACTATATTTGTAAAATTTGTCTGAAAATAATAATAATTGTTTAATAATTTTTTTTAAAAATTAAAAACACTTTTTTATTCAAGGTAATATCCCGAGGCGAAATTTAAGCCCTAATTTATAAGGAGTAAAGTAGAGTTAAACAGACCCTCTTTAGCTTCCTCAACTAGTCGCAAATTTCCCTTTCTTCCACGTTTGGATTTAAAGTAGGGTCTAAAAATTGATTAAAATATTGAAAATTTCGAAATTGCTCTAATTCTATTAATTTTTTGAAAACGCTTCAAAATATGTTAATTCCAGTTTTTAAAGGGTAATTAAAGAAATATTGTGTGAAGAAAAAATTCATTTTGCTTTAATCAAAATAATTAAAAGAGTTTTTTTTTTGCATTTTTTGTACTTTTTTAATCGAACTAGACCCTCTTTAGCTTCCTCGACCAGTCGCAAATTTACCTTTCTTCCACGTTTGGATTCAAAGGAGGGCCTACGGGAGTCTACAAGATCGTAAAGAGGGCCTATTTAGGTTCTAAGGAAAGCTAAAGAGGATTCAAATTTCGCCTCGGGATTATTTTCATAATAATTTAATTTATTGCAATTATTTTATTATAATTTAATAAATTTCATTATTTTAAAAAAGCGGGCGCTATTTTGTCTTGGGCCAATCAGGTGATTTCGTTTGTTTCTGATTCATGACAGCTGGCAAACATTTACAACAAATAATATTTTTCAAGTGTATATTTATTGCAATTATGTAAGTTATGCAAAAAATATATATGTGGAACAATAATTTACAGTGATTTTCATAAAATGAATATTGATTTAGATCCTCTGGAAAGCAAAGTTCATTTTTTCTTAAATTCAATTTTTTCGACCACCGAGATATTTGGATAC